AAAGCATTTTAATTACACCGCATGACAGGAAAATTTGTGACAAGTAGTGGGTTGCCATTATAAATTATTACGATAAGTATCTAATACCATTACAAAATCCAAAGGCGACCAATTTCATTAAAAGTAAATCGTTATCGACGGTATGAAATACCATGCGGAAGTCACATATACTGTGTCCATCACTCTTGCATCCATCCCCTTCAACACAGCATCCGTGAAGGACAACAAATTAGTGTCCGTACTACGACCCGGATGAAAACTATGTGGTGCATCTTGAAACTGGGCGCTCACTTGCCAGTAAAGACAACGATGTAATGCATTCTCAAATACCTTTGTAAACGGCATGATGACGGGATAACCACTAGTCTATGGTTAGGTTTATTAAATTTTTTAAATGGGAATAATGCGATAGATTTTCCATGTATCTGGATATATATAAGACCTTTATTTAAAAGATTAAAGATATGTAAAAGAGGTGTCTAAAGGACATCTCCACAGATTTTTATAATATACAGGTAGGTAATAGCTGCAATACTATCTGGACCCATAGACTCAGTATAACTTACTAAGTCTGGACCTTCTTATAATTAAAGTTTTTGATGCAACAGAGCGACACGTACATTGGATAATTGTAAAATGCCCACATCGACCCTAGGCGTATCGTACCGTATCCTCGGCCTCGCGCTTTGCCTCCTGCAAGATCAACCGCGAGGGTTTGTCACTATAATCCGATTATAAGTATTCGACAAATTTCTTAGTCGCATGGAGCTAATTTCGTGATGAACGCTTAGTTTTGATTTACGACCTAAAAAACCTGGATTCCTTGTAAATCGTGTTTGTAACCGCTTCAAATATTCTCCATACGCCAAATTAATTTTACGTTTAATTTGAGACCGGTATTGAGGAAACATCTTATACATAAGTGTATATTATTAATGCCAGTTTGTTTTGTATTGAAGATCCGCAATTATGTCTGGTGCAAACCACTCCGTATAGTAATATTTCTAACTTTAAGAAATCTTTCTCTTAATTGCTGTACAGGAATCAATAGATACGTGAATAATGTTGCAAAAATAATAAAGTGCATCGCCAACACTTTGTAATGCTCGCGCAATGTATTCCAATCGATCTTAACTAATATGACGTACAGTACAGAAACGTTGCACTTACCTATTGCCGTGCCGACGTCAGGACGTGAGCAGGCGGCGACATAACCCGCGACCGTTGTCCGCCGTCCGAATTAATGAGCGATTGCCGTGGAGCGGTACGCAACGACTTTTGTCAGAGCACTGCACTCTTCGCGCACTAACACCAATGTATCTAGTGAGTTATTTAAAACTACGTCCAGAGTCCGTCCAGACAATATGTAACATACTCGTAATATAGGTGAAATAAGTCGACGCAGCATACCACTTCCATGGCAAAAGTATTGTGTTCATAATTCGATATCTGCGTATTCAATTACACTGTGCCAATAAGCAATATTACTTTATCGCGCGTTCCCAACTTCTTCCTAGTAAAAGTAAAGTAATATGATAAACAATATTTAACGCTTCGTATTCATTCCGTACGTAGCGCGTACATATGTAACTATTACAATGTACATAATGTATAAAATCACTTGGAATTATGCACACAATGTCGGCGATTCAGTGAAGAGAACCGAGGACTATGATCAATATGTATTTGGGTCTATTTATTGAAAATAATCTGGTGACATAAACACGGCCAGTGGGTTACTGGGGAGTCAGTGCTGTCAAGGCCGGGCGGGCGCCCGGGCGGCGGCTGCACGATATTTGAGTTTTACTGACACCGACACCGCCAGCGCCAGCGCCAGCGCCGAACAGAGGGCTCGCCACTCGGCCGCGAAGTGCGTATTTGAATTGTAAAGTGAATTGACGAAAATCACTTATGCATTATGTGTCCAGTGGACACCTCGGGCTGCGGTCACAATTATATTTACAAATTCGCTCGCACCAAATAAAACATAAGAATATCAAAAAGAGTATGACGTGAAGATACATTTATATATGTATGTAAGTAAGTACTTAGGTATATTTTGGTAGGTACCCACAAAATACGAAGCTAATGGTCTACCCAATGGAAAATGCTAATCGTTGCCTAGAGAGGAAGCCCACGGACAACATGGAAGATATTCTGCCATTTGTGGCACCTATCATCTTGAGATATCAGATTTAATTCTTCAGATGCAGCAAAACAATACTGATTCGTGCTAGAACGAGGAAATACTACAGTAACACTGTGTTTTTTAATAGATGATCAAAGAATTATAACCTCGCCTGCACTAAAGATATACGCTGACGGAGCACCAGTGAGATAATAGGTAAGAATGAAAAGACAGGTCAGTTAGCCCATCGTGATGAATACACCTGTAATACAAAACGATGGTTTCCAGGGGGGACTGCGTGGAGGTCGACCTGACTGGGTATATTTTTGTTTACTCTATAGATGCGTCATGCAAAACTCTATCGTTAAAAGTCTTGTTTTTAAATACTGCAGTACAAATTAAATCATGAGGATAGATAAGGTAAAACTATATAAATTCATAACGAGAATATCTGGCGAAAAACAATAAGGTAGAGAAAATATTACTACTGCTCTCTACCAGCTACGATTTAAAATATGTTTGGGGAAGAGAGATTACGTCGAGTGTAGCACTCACTATTACATTACCAATTGCCAAATGCCTCTGACTACACCAATCGGTTATAGAGTCGTGGGTATTCTGATTGTTTCAGCAAAAGCAACCAAAATATGTCAATACCGTATATCTTTGTAAATGGCAAGACTTGTTAAAAAGAAATTAAATTATTTCTTATTAATAATACGATGTGCTGTGCCTGGTAAGCGAGTGCGGTTCACGCTCGGCCTCCGTTTATAGTGAATTAAGCGAACATAACGCACCGCCGTGATAAGCTTGCGTCAGTAGGAGTGACATGGGAATGTGAGTAGCCCGCCCTTCTCCCTGTTTCTACGGGAACTAAGCTAATAGGATATATTTCGCCTCGTGACTGAAGAACGTAGGCGTACACAATGGGGATTAATGAATTATAGTATCTATAACCATTGTAGGTATCTAAGATACCTATTAACAGTCAAATTGACGTTAATGTGAAATAAATTGATTTTAGTTAACGAAGATTTTCCACAATACAATCATATTCGCTTCCATGTGCTCTCGAGAAAATTAACAAAATAATAAACGTGACAAAGTTTTCTATGAAAGCAATATTCACCAGAGGGAGATTTTGTACAAAAATCGTTTGCTTGGATACCTATGTCTCATTCGTGTTTCTACCGTAAAGCAGTTGTGTTTGCATGGCTGTGTTTCGGTTTGAAGGGTGGGATATGGCAGTGAATTTACAGAGTATAGAGGAATAACACCAGAGTCCATCGGAATGGCAACGCAAGAGGGGGTAGGGGGAGAGTATCATGAGCGAAACAGTGTACTTTGTTATGTTTATTATGTTTATGGTACTACTCATGACTATAGACGACGGTTACCACTTTGGTGACCGTCAGCTTGTCTACCATTCAAAGTTGCATAAAAAAAATTTATGGTTGTCGCCATCGCCGATAGGTATGTACGCCCCTATAGGCACCACACAATTCTTTGCGATGCCCACGGCACTCCTCAAGCGCTGCCACTCTCGAAGACTATGGTGTCACACTTCTATAGTCATATCCCGTAATACCATAGCTATATTCCACCTTTCAAACCGAATACAGCTATGCAAGCGCAGCTATTGGGCGGCACAGGTAGTCAAGCTGACAACTTACGCACAATATGAGCCTCTGGTAAAGAAATGAAAGCACAATTTTTTTAAATAATTTTCTCAGGATTTTGATTACTAATTATTTTAGACAATCGCCAATTCGTAATGTATCACTATAGCGACAAACCTATCGATATTTATTGAACCGTTCATTACTGATTACAGGAAACGCAAAAAAAAACCGAATACAAACTTGCACTATTAAAACATATTTCGTAAGCAGTCTGATAATAATCAATTAAATCAAAATTTCAATTAAAATGATATGAAACATTATAAACTGTGTACGAGTATAATCAATTGTCCGTCAGGACTGGTAGCGCACGAGCTAGAAGAATCTATTTATCTTTAGCTTAATATCGTTTACCGCTGTCAATCCGGTGGTCCGTTGGGCTTTTTGCTTTTCCAGATTACATAAAAAAGTAAAAGAAAAACGTATTTACTAATTGAAATAAAAGTATTAAATTAATATACATATTATGGACAGTAGACAGTATACACACATCTAAGCGCATAAAAATATGAACTTAAAATTAATAATATGAAAGGAAAAGCATAATCGGTTAATGGAAACTAAGAGAGTTCTTTGGACTAGTATCAGCAAATAATGCACCAATGAGACGAATAATAATTCATTGGGAATATATAATTATTAATTGATACATAGGTGTCAGATATTCACCATATTGAATGTACCTACAACATTTATATAATACAATGTAGACAGCCGGTGAAATATTAATAATAATCACCGCAGGCCCGCAAGTATAAACATTTCATGAGGCCTTCGAAAGCGGAGTGGCGGCCGTGCACAAGGGCACCATCGATTTTATAGAACAACACGAGCTGACACGCCGCTGACAATAAATGACTCAGACGGGTTGCTTCCCCGCGATCGCACTACTCGTATTATGTATTGACACTATCGAAACGTCGGCAAAACATACGCAGTCATGTAGGCACCGATTACGTATTCAGAATTAGGATACCGAAACGCCTAGAGCTACACGACCGTTATTCAAGGTCGCAGCGAGGGTCGCTGAAGCCCAGCTGATGTGATTATTGATTTCACGCTTCAGACCATTACCTACACCAATTAAATAGGCGCATTTAGTGACAAATAATACAAAATATAAAATCACAACCATACGACACACTCTTACAGGTATACTTAGTAGATAGTGGCATTTCCAAAATACTTACGTATAGAGATCGTCTTCGACGTTCGAAGAACTCGTGGCCTCCACCAACACCGAGCAGCTCATCACTGGTTCGTTGTCAACAAGACTCTCATCACAAGTCGTTTTGTTGTTCGCACGAGGCTCGTTTACGAGTCAATGTTTATGTCACATTCCGGCAACAGCGAGGTGACGCGGTAGGAGATGACAACGGCGGTGGCGGCGGCGACGGCGGCAGCAATGATGGAGGCCGGGCAGCCGGCGAGGGGTGGGCTGCAGCGCTGCGATGCGGTGGTGCGCTCGGACGGGCGCTGCCGCCGCGTGGCATTGGATACGGAAGGGAAGCGTGCCACTCACTACCCGGTGTCGGTAGCCGTATTACGGACTGAAATCTCTTAAGGCTCGGAAAAGGCAACGTCCGCACGGAATGACTTTGCTCCAGCGTTTATATTGTTTTAATTAACCTTCGCTTATGACTTGGGACTTTTACCACAGTTCAAAGAATAGTGAAAAGGCTTTAGAAATACTTATACATAAGTAGCTATTATTTACGTTAACAGTCATTCTACAAATTTATTTTTCGAACGTACACCTTAGTGTATCCTTAGTGTATATTAGTTGAATTCAAATTAATAATCATGTGAATCATACAAATATTATAAACTTTTCTATTTTACGAATGCTCAAAATACGTAGAAAAGACCTAAGACGAGGACGGAACGTTGTATTTAATTAAGTTCGATTGTTTAACCTCAATATAGACATGTGGGTGTTTGACGATCGAAACCTTGTCAATATTTTTACTCATGTATTTTTAATTCTTTGTATTTTGGAGGTGCGTACGATATTATTACACATAGTCACTACAGCGATGTTGATACACGAAACATCATCAAAGCGCGCCGCCACCAAATTTTCTACCACATGACGTTACAAGTAAGTACTGACTTACTGAGCTGACCCTTAATACTAAATTATATCGAATTATAGCCATTACAAAACTCTCGTCGATTTTTGTCACCAGCTCTTGGACTGTTTATCTGTTCCGCGGCCTTCGTCTCTTATGTATGTTTTGGAATAGAGGGCAAACGGGGTGTAGACTTCGGAGCGTAGCATCTCCGCCTCGTCTTTTTATGTGTCCTTTGCGACGGACGCATTGATTCTTAACACTTTGTATGAAAGTTAATTGAAGGGGCGTCGCGTCTCTGACGCGTCCACGCTTTACAACCTTTATGTGTAGCTTGGGCCTAAGGTATGCAACTGACAAAACTAGAAATAGAAATATGGATATAAATCATAAAGTTACAAAATTCCAGTTTACTTGTGAGTGGGAATACATCCTCTTTCAATATTTAATGGGAAACCCAGTAAAACCTAAAATCAAAATATTAAACGCAAGTGAAAAGTCATACCGTGTGTTGGGAGTATCGAAATGAGCATGCGCCAGTTTAACCTTGGGCTTACTTCCCGGTTCACGGGCAGAACCTCTGTCACCTGCCTTCTAGGTCAATGTGTTTATAGTACATTGTAAGTATGTATATGCGTTTCATGTAGATAGCGCTCATATCTATGTATTGTATTCGCGTGTCACGGTAATCGAGCTGAGAGATTTACTATCTAGGTAAGACAGAAAATAGGACCTAGTAGACAATTTCACAAACAAACAATGTTTGTAGCTACTATTGCAACGCTCATTATAAGTCCAAAAGTGCACTCGTCTACACGGTATTGGCACTGGGGAAATTTTCCTCTTTATTAATAACAAATCTTCGAGTTATAGGGCTGGCTCGACGCTACTGAATATCTTTAAGCTTTGATATGATGGAGTCTATAATTATTCTACAGGGTATTGGCACATTTATTGAATAGTACGAGTAAATATGCCTATCACTGTCCTATACCAAACGAAAATACCGAAAATTTAAATTATAGAAGAAGGTCAAGGTAAGTCCTGTTTTTAACGTGAAACCAGACAGCTTCTAATTTCATTGCTTAACATAAATGTTCACAACTACAGCTTACACAATATTCTAATGTAACAATTCTCCATTCAGTGTTGAATACACTACAGATCTGGATATAGTAAAGGAAGGGAATTTGACAGGGAATTCGTCCTCACACGCTTGAACCTAAATGGTTACGTACGATGTAGTTTCAAAGAAATTTTCCTCCCAAACGCTCAAGCTGTGGAATGAGCTCCCTCCCTGCCGAAGTCATCTCTAGAGACAACAGTATGGGGTGCTTCAAAAAGAGTATATTAAGGTTTCTTCACAGTTGGTAACACGCACCTAACAAAGGGTGTTTTTTAGTGTTGCAGGCGTCCATAGGCTATAGTGACTGTTTACCATCAGACGAGGTTGTTGCCACCTTTGTGGTGTAAAAAATCCAAATATAGACCTTACGATGTAGGTATTCATTAATTTTTAACATTAGTATAACTTTAATTCCATAGACATAAATCCAACGTCACCTAAGGGCGGAATATTGTCTTCCCAAAAACAATTCGTACTTGGAATTGAAATTAGGAGGCTACAGGGAGCGTATCTGCCATGCAATCAGATGAAGTGGCAAAATTAGGTATATGTAATTTCAGGAAACTACTGTCATCTTACGACCATTCGCCTACGACGACATTCTTAGAAAAAGAAGAGATAAACCATCGATCCTACGCTAGAACCAGCACAGTCATACCACAAGTATATTAATTAAAACTGAACTGCATTATGTAGCACGTAAAGTCTTAAAACTTATTTTATAATTTATTTTCTATCCATCAGAGCTCCTCTCACTCGTACGAGAATGTAAGTACTTTCCCCTTCGGCCAAAGCAATGGCGTAAACCATGCTTATACTGACTGTACAGTCAATAAAATGTGGCAAAAGGAAACTTTAGAATAACATCATGCCTGTCTAACCATCTGTTGATTATATCTACGCCTTCCATATTTTATTATATCCAAATTTTGATTAAACTCAACAGAATTGTGTAATATAATACTTTTACAGTGGTTTTTTTGAGCGCATTATTTTAAAATATTCTGTTTATTGTTTTTAGTCTGCATAAGAATTTTATTATTGTTATAAGAAAATTAAAAATATTAGATCTATTTATTTTTTCAAACTCACTATACTCGTATTATTTTTCCGATAGCTAATTAAAATAAGGATAAGTTATTAAAACTAAGTGCAAGTAAGTGCAACCGCGGGATTTCTCATATTTCTCTCCTAGAATTCATCCCACACAATAGAACTAATGTTTTATAAAGTTTTTAGCTATCAATGACATTCTCCGACGCGATTTTACCACCGCGAGCATGCCTACCATCCTAGAACCTCCTGGTTTAATGCGTGACAACGGCAAGAGACCTGACGGGATGTCCTTGGTATTTTCAGCTGCGTCGATACGCTGGCGCCGTCTTACCTTCCAAGTACATCCATGAGGGCTGGTGCCGCCGCAACACACCAGGAAACCATCAAACGCCGTAAATATTCATCGCTTAGAAATGAATATATGTTTGCGGCGTTTTCAGTCAAGACTCTGGGCCCGTGGAGCCCCGAGGCTATGAGTCTTTTTAAAGAGATATCACGCCGGCTGGTGGAAACTTTAGGCGATTAGAAGATTGCCCTATACTTTTGTCAACGCATTTCGATAGCTATTAAGCGTGGAAATGCAGCAAGTCTCCTAGCTACCCTACCAGTTGGCAATGACCTAAATTTTTTTATATTTAAATAATATTTTAAGGTCTTGTTAGTATAAAGTTACTTTAAATATTTTATAGTAATTATAAATAATTAATTTCGCCGCGACTGGCGGCGGCGCTTTTTTATTGTGATCGATAACATTGTCAAGGCTAGACAATGCTAGACAAGCCAGACACAGCGCGATCTAGTTGGATGGGTGACTGGTCACCAAAACATTCGTGCACATGCACTCCTAATTTGGTAAAACACTATTTATTTATTCAATTTTATTATTTACAAGTTGCTGCAAATTTGAAGAGAAATTTAGGTACTTCTCTCCGAATTTGCAGCAACTTGTAAAATAGATATTTATACTATCACCGCAATAAGAAAAAAAAAAAGGTAATACATTTCTTGAATGCAAAAATAATGATTTAAATCAGTTCTAAAAATATCATGTAATATGTTTCCTATGATAAATACGGCGAGTAGGGTCCCATCGCTAGCAATATACCCTATCAGGTCGACCTCCACGTAGTCCCCCCTAGAAACCATCGTGATGAATTCCAAGTGTTTACATTGCGGTGGGCCAACTGACCTTTTCATCTCGCCTACCATCCCTCACATGTACCCCGCCAGCTTATACCGTTTGCGCAGGCGGGGTCACCTATCCATTGTCATCCATTAAAAAAAAAACGTTGAGTTGTTGAACAACTGAGTCCTCAGGAATGGCAACGCATGGGGGGTATCATGGGCGAAACAGTATACTCTGTTATGTCCATGGTACTGCTCATGTCTATAGGCGACGGTTACCACTTTCCATCAGGTGGGCCGTCAGCTTGTTTGCCATTCTAAGTTGTATACAAAAAAATACATTTATAGTGTTTATATTATTGTTTACCAAATTCGAAATTGACACGCATATCTATTGTCTCCTTTTGACTTGCATTCACAGTTCTAGTCTGTGGTGTGATATATATATATATATATATATATATATATATATATATATATATATATATATATATATATATATATATATCCCACCCTTTAAATCGAAACACAGCCAAACACAACCGCTTCACGGTTGAATCACGAATGGAACAGAGGTACCCAAGCAATCGACTTTTGTACATCTATTTGTGTTTAAACAATAGAAAGTCGGTGTTATTAAATATATAGTGGACTTAAAATAATACATTTCATTCAGTGGCATAACAATAAAGTGACAGAGCGGGCAAAATGCTAGTCTCGGCTAGGCTCCCCGCTTGAAGGGGCCACTAGATCAAGTGACTACCAGTACAGGAAGAATCTAACACTTATTTCATAATTTTGTAAAAAAAAAAATAACAATTTAAGAAATAGAGTATTATTTCAAGAACGTACCTACACGTATCATATAAATATATTAGTAAGATTTTAACAAGGTATTTTCAAGTAACCAAATAATCATAACTAATTAAATAACTAATTCTTGCTAATACCTACATATAATATATTCTAATAATTTATTATATAATAAATTATATTTTTAAATGAAAAGTTGTTCGTTTTTACAAGTACCTGCCTACATCTTTCGGCAGGTATCTATATTTAAATATCTACTAATATAAAATTATCTAGATCAGCAGGTGTAAATGGGATATTTGGCATTAAATGAACCTGTGGCAACCGTCTTTTTGACACATACGTTTCCCGCGAAAAAGTTGTTGTCATATATACGGACTGGTAACAACCAATTTTTATTGTAATTATTGGTGAATATATTGGTGTCTGGTGTCTTTTTTATATACTCTGCATGTGTGACGAGGCTTCTTGACAGTATTTTAATTGTACTTGGTTACCTGACAACACGCTTTTAAAATAATGCTTTTTGATTGACCATCAACTACATCGCGCGGTCTTCTCGCGCATGCCAATTCCAAAAAGATTTATTTTTAATTGTTTTATATTTTTTTAAACCACATATTATATTATACTATGTTATAAAATAAAAAGATTTCGTTTCATTTATTAATTTTGTGATACATAGGTAGATGATGATAAAAGTGAACAATGGATGGTAAAAGAAAATAAGTCCTCTATGATCAACCTCATACATCGAGGTATACATAAAGATATTACGTATAAATACGTAATATTTCTTTTTTTATTATTCGTGCTAAAGTATTAATGCATCTTAATTGCTAGAGGAACTAGTTTTCCTCTTCCAAAACAGCGCCATTTACGATAAAATTGCAATAGGATAAACCAATTCTTAAGTAAAATTTTAGTTCCTTAATTGCTCTGCAGAGACAGCATCAACATTTTAAATCCATTAGTCTATCATTTGTACGTCATAAATGTCATAATGACAGATAAAAAAACGTCAAATGTCAATTCTAGGTAGTGATGTGGGAATACAATTTAATAATTATGATTGTGAAAACGTTGTACTTACTGTACAAAGCGTACTTTTTTACTTAATATGCTTTATTTTGACAAAAGTACTCAATCCGAAATAGGGTTTGAAAAGCACTTAATATGGCAAACACCGATACCGTTTAATACCAGTTTAAATTTTCATCATATGCAAGCAGGTTGTATCTGAATTTGGCAGGATTATATGGCCGTATAACATTTTCTATTCACTAGCCTGCTATGAATTGACAAAAATAGCAACTGACGATATATCTTTCTTCTATAAATATAATTAGTAAAAGAGAACGAAAGTTTACAGTTTTTATTTTATCATTCCTTTTGTGTAATTCCTTGTTCTTAGGTTACAGCCATATGCCAAACTATGTCAGGCAGGGTGCTAAAGCCTAGCCATATATTGGTACACGAGTGAAATAACAATTGTTTTGTTAGTTTGTACTTTGACGATATCTAATAAAAAACACTAAGACCATATCTGTTATTTTTCAGTATATTATCATTATGTTAGCACTTATGTATTACATTGAAAACTAATTTAGACCACAAACCTATGATACTTATTACTTAAAGCGTGATAATACGCTTATTTTATTAAGCAAAATCATATGTTTTTATTTAAACGCTCATCTCTAGTATTTACTCCGTAAAACTATTTAAAAAAAAACTTACCTACCTACGCGAATTTGCGCGGATGTCTGAAATATTTACCTAGCACGCTTCGCGCGGATCAAATGTAACAGGCGCTAATGTTATATTTCAGTGTTTATATATTTTAATGTACACATTTAGCCATTTAAAATATTTTTTGGAGTGTAATTATTTGTGATCAGCACTTAGTACTTTTGTTTTCTTGTGATGTTTTGCTATTAAGTGATACTCATCAAATGCAAGTGCAGCAACTATTCAATGCAATCTCGCAACACGATTATGAAGACAGTGTAAATTCTAAACACGGCTTAATGTCCTCTAAGATGATGGAAACCCGTTACTACGAGGGATGTGGACGTGAAGGTCCAATCCGATGCATTTTTCTAGGAGAATTTCATCCTGTCGCAGGACCTAAGATCTCGTGTCAGGTTAGTTTTAATGAGTCATTACGTGCATGTATCACATTTACGGTGGAATGCAGTGTGCTTTTTTCTATGGATCGATATTTATAACCCAGTGATGTAATATTTAATAATGATACATACAATTATAAGTTGAAATGCATTCTGTATGATTTATATTTGCAGTTTCCAGAAGATTACATATCCAAAGAAGTATTTGATTCAATCAGCGCCTACATTATACCCAAACCACAAATACAAAAATGCACTATGACAATGTAAGTTTAAACAGTATATTTTAATATCTTTATAATGCAATTGTTGTCAATAAGTATAAATATGTCCACTGTCAAGTCTTATTTTGTGTTTTTATTGCACTATCGCAAAGTATATAATTAAGTACTCTAAATATCAATATATAAATGTTTAAGCAATTCGTTAATGAAACAATATGAGCGAATTTAGTATTTAAAAAATTAAATAAACATTTATTAAAACTTATGCTTTGTCACATTCTTATTATGTAAAAAGAAAGTATTAGTGAGTACTTGTGCTTTATTTGCACTGTACTGTATAATGTATCAAACATTAAATGCAAATATAATAAAACATTTGTAAATGCAACAAAATGGTAATTTTGCTGAAAACAGTCTTTCCAAGGCAACCTTAGCTTGAAAACTAGACAATAAACATGTTAAAATTATTAGGTTTAAAAATGTTCCTTTATTATTGAATGAGGGCTACTAAATTGTTAGATTTTACATTACATCTGTAATCATCTTCTTATCATTAGCTAATATTATTGTTATTGTATACAGAAATGCCCTTGGTCACAAAATAGTGGGCTACCCGATCAGGATAGACAACTCTCGGTACGAGCGCAACGTGTACCTGTTCAACCTGTGCTTTGTATGTGACAGCTGGTCCAAGACCGTCCAGTACGAGCCTGTTGTCAAGAAACTAGGAGAACACTTGGTAACTTATTATAGTGATATTGTTATTTATGGTCAGCTCGTACCTGATGCGACACTACACTATACACTTGTACTGTGTCCATGATCATGAACTCTGATGAAGAATGAAGTTATGTAATGTTTACATGATATGATTACAATTTTTCCATTAATTTCTCCATTGTACAATTAAATATATTAATATCCTCATCTTCATTGACTATTTGTATACTCATATACATATAAATTGAAAGCCAGTGGTGGATAGTGTTCATAAAACTGAATAACTTCAGACTGAAGTATAACAATAATTTAAAAATTCTATGTTTACACAAATTTAATGTACAGAAGTGAAATGCGTGGGATGCTATAGACAGCATTCCATCAGATATATGCCTATCAACTTGTTTTCCATTAACTGTAGTATTAGGAACATATTAAAGTTTAACATCACTCATATTGTATTATATGTGCAGACAATAATGGAAGAGGAGACACGCTTTGTATCAAGTGGATGCACCAAACTGCCGACACTGCTCGCTCACCTTCTACACGACCTCAACACACATCGTAAAGCTACATTAGTAGGTGAGTGTCATGCCTCGTGTTACACTTACTTTTATTACTAGTAATTTGTAATGCATTGACAACTATGTCCTAACTAATTAGTATCAAAGTACCTTTTTATCACTGACTCGAATATTTATTCAGATGTGATGAATATTTGTAATTAGTCTAGCGGTTATACATAATTGTTTTTAGACTTTTGATTTTTTAATAAAATAAATAATACGTGATATGTATAGCTGTGCTCCCATTTAGCATTATAGTTTTATTTTTTAGAGTTAAATGCAAGTAATACAATTTGCTAAATTCAACTTTTTTCTTTATCATATCTACACTGGCTGACTGCAAATTAGTCCTTGATAAAAAGTAGCTTTTGCCTGTGTATGCGATGCAGACTAGAAGCAAGTGCAACCTGAGATGTTCTTGCCACATGTGTAGTGCGAGCTCTAGTGATTGTCATCATTGTCCACTCATCATATGATATTCTGCTTATATTTTTCATTGTTCAACAGTGATCTAGTTGTGACACACAGATGCTAATGTATCTCTATACAAATTCTGTATAAAGACACAGTTGTTTGCTCAATCATTCTTGTGTATGAACATATTAAGCTCTGTAATGAAGTATTCTAATAAGTTTATTTTCTGTACTGTGGACAATGGACTTTATTATCTTAATTAAAATATTAATTACAGTGATTGTATGTGTGGACATTCTGCTATTGCAAGTAATATCTATATATTTTTATACTGCCATATTTTTATACTAATATATGTATACATTTTTGCAAATATGCTCATATATATATTTTAAGATCGTAATATTATTTCATAAAAGTAGTAAAACAAAATAAATATTACGTATATTTGTTGTAAATTATTAATTTGCCAACTAATGTCTGTATACCTATATTAGTGTATATTTTCTTTTGATGTAATAATATAAAGCGTTTAAAATAACTTCTTTTCTGTACTCTCTGTCTACTCTTGTTCATTTGTTAGGAAATGTATAATAAACATATTTTTAATAAAAGTAATTGAATGGTGTTTGATGTAACATCTTTAACTGGCACCAATCAAATCTTGCACATTCTTTGGGGGTGGAGTCTAGAGATGAACTCTCTGAAAGCAGATTTACATTAGATGAGTTGCCAGCTTCAATTTTAAGATTAGATAATGCACGCTTCTCATTTTATATTTTCAGTTTAGTGAACAATTGGTGTCTGTTACTTCGTAACTTAATGTAATCTGCCTTTCCCTGGTTTCAACTCTTTATAATAATATTGGAATAATTGTTTCCAAGTCTTTACATCATTCCTTGGACCATATTCTTTTTATAATTAACTAATGCCCACGATATCGTACGCGTTGATTTAAAACCGACTTCAAAAAAGGAGAAGGTTCTATGTTCAACTGTATATTCTATTTAAGTGTATCCAACGATTTCTCAGTCAATTGTCGACGGATTTTCAAAATTCTTTTTTTGTTCGAAAGTAGATAGTTCTGAGGTGGTCCCATTGTCACCACGTCAGAATCTGTTGGTGGAACCCCAGGGAAATCGAGGGCAACCCTCATTTTTTATAGGCAAGTACTCTTTTAATTTTTTTTCATATTCATTTTTTCATATTTTCATTTTATTTTCATTTTTTTTCACATTTTTTTTATATTTTTTTTAATATTTTTTTATGTTTGGTAGTCATTATCTCATGTAGCCAAGTCGACGATGGAAGGCACAACAACTTAATCATTACGAGTTTGAGGATAATTCTTTAATCGCGCTACAAGCGCGTATAGAGCGTTAGTTGTTACTTATTTTGCCGCCCGCGTTAATAGCCGCGTTATTTTCAACCGTCTTAAAAAAGAAGGGGTTCTCTATTTGATTGTATTTTTTATGTTTGTTAGCTCGTAACTCCGTCAGTTGTAAATCTATTTAGAAAATTCTTTTTTTTTTTTGTCTAAAAGGTTATACTTACAGATCGGTCCTTTAGAAATTTTATCAAAATCGATCCAGTAGTTTAGTTTATAAATCAAAACTGGACTGATTCTGCCACAATTTAAGTCTGTATTTTTCGCAGAACGCAATCTTAATAGGACACACGTTGCAGTTGTGAAGGTTAAGCGTTCTAGTATTTACTAGGCACTGGAGGGCGGGTAGACAGCTGACCCCCCCCCCCCTCCCTCTCGCCGCGCGTGCCTCAACTCCTTGTTTTAGAAATCAGAAGTGGGGTGAGCGTACAAGTCAACAGCTGTTATTGGTGTGTGTTGTCAGTGTTGTTTATTGTGCGTTAATCAGTAAATTGGTCGCCGCGCGAGCGAGCGACTACTCGCGCAAGTACAATCCGCAAGTATGGTTTTTACATTAGTAGAAATATTAATAGATTATATTGTATATAGTGTTGTTTTCATGTAAATATTATATAAATATTGATATTTTCACTTTTGTTTTGATTAATTTGGTAATTTATTCTTTGATTAATTAATTTTATATCTTTACAGGCACCTGCCGACGCGTAAAATGAAATTGCGTGCTTGGAAGAGGAGTTGTATTTTAAAGAAGCTGATGCACACAGTTTATTGGCAGATGTATCTGACAGCGACAGTGAACGTGATCTGAACATTAAAATATACCCTCCGGTAGAGAAGGTACACTCAGTACGCACAGTATATCGGTCTAAGAAAAATAGAAGGACGAGAAAAGGATACAATACATGCACAGTTACTGTGTTGACCAACACTGTATGTCCATGTGTCAGGACTTTTTGGCTGAAATACACGTCGTAGATGGTGAAAACGTTAAATTTTGTCATAGAGTTATATTTTTCTTTTTTTTTTTTATGTAAGACAAAGATGTTAAAATTAAAGAAATTTTACCTGAGAATTTCCATAGTATTTTTGTTCTTAATTCTTAGTATAGGACTTTTTTTTATACAACTTAGAATGACAAACAAGCTGACGGTCCACCTGATGGAAAGTGGTAACCGTCGCCTATAGACATAAGCAGTACCATGGACATAACAGAATATACTGTTTCCCCCCATGCGTTGCCATTCCTGAGGACTCAGGTATTATTCCTCTGTACCCAGTAAATTCACGCATTATCCCACCCTTCAAACCGAAACACAGCCATGCAAACACAACTGCTTCACGGTTGAAACACGAATGGGACAGAGGTACCCAAGCAATCGACTTTTGTACAAATATTACTTTTTTTTAATAATTTGTTTGATTGTATTCTTTCAAACTTTATTTTAAATTAATGAATTGCAAAAAAAATTAGTATGAACGGCAAAAAGTTCCTCACACGATCACACTTTTCGCGGAAAGGCGCGCTGGTTTAAAGTTATTCAAATGAGCTGATAATGAAAGTTTTGACTCCTTATCGGTCAGGCGTAGGCATATAATTCCACGCATATTTTAAGCACGTACAAACCGTTTCTCAGTCTCTTTCAAGTTATTTGAGTCTAGGAATTGGTACTTTAAAAACATATTCTCAATCCAACCATCTTTTTATTTAGCCCATATATCACAAGTGGCGACGTGGGATTCATATAAAAACAATCATCAAATTGAATTATATTAAAAGTATGTGGCTGCCTTAGTGACTCAACTAGACGGTTCGACGACTTGCGAATTAATGTGTGACTTGTGCGCTCTAGACTATCCCGAACAAAAGTCGTATAGTGAAAGAGTGAACACGGTGAAAGATTTGGAACTAAAGATGGGAATTCACCGAGAGATATACCTTTCAATGAGACGCCAGACACGATGGAACGACTCGCGTGTTTTTGTCGGGCTATGCGACTACAACTTCATAGAATCGTCACTTGATTATAAGAGGCGAAGGCGTTGGCGCTAGCACTGAAGGCAGCAGCAAGCTGTGGAGACCGCGAGCCACGGAGCCGGCTCTCGGTGGGCGACGGCTACAAGAGACTCACGGTGGGCGAAGCCGCCACAGGCCTGCACCGGGTGAGCACCGTGTTTGCAAAAATCTTTGCAGCAGCGGTAGTGACAATTCTGATGGTAACGACAGCGGCGTCTGCGGCAGTGCCGGCTACTCATGAAATTGTTGGCGTTGTGGTGAAGCGGGCTTCACTCCTCATAGATGTCGGTGGAAGTCATATGTGTGTGACAAGTCTAAAGTGAAAAGTTTAAGTTGTATGCATGGTAGTGGCCGCAATCTCAAAATTTCATAACGCAAGTATTGGACTGCTACCAGGATGATAGATATGATGCATTTTTTAATATAAATGTTAGCAGCGGCTCAGGAAAGTATGGACCGTATAACTGCGAGGTAAATATATAACATCTGAAATCGATATAGTCAGCAAAATATCAGCTATCTCTAAAACATTCTATGATAAATATTTTACATCAGTGCCATTGACTAGACTTTTAGAATTTACCTATATTATGTTTAGTCTAAAAAACGCTACCCAACCTTTTCAGCGATTCATAGATGAACTCCTATTAGGTCTAGACTTCTGTTATGGATACGTCAACGATATCCTAATATTCTCATCATCACCTGAAGAGCACAAAATCCGTCTAAGGCATCTTTTTCAGCGATTCAAGCAAAATGGCATACTGATCAATACAAGAAAATATACTTTTGACTAATGAGATGTCAAGTTTTAGGATATCATGTCTTAGCATCTGAAAAAAAACTTTTAGATAGCAAAGTTAAAGTTATTCATGAGTTTTCCATATTTAAAACCATGATTGCGCTGAAACGTTTCTTAGGTATTCTCAATTTTTATCGTCACTTTATACCAAATGCCGTTCAAATATAGGCACCTTTGAACGACATTTTATTAAGCTCTAAAACTAAAGGTTCACATCCAGTTAACATGACACCAGAATTACTCAATATTTTAGATAACTGCAAATCGTCATTATCACAGGTTACTCTTCGAGCACATTCAAACTCACCGCTTGATTTAGCAATTGTCAAAGACGCTTGCGAATCCGCAATCGGAATTCTTAAAATAAAATCGTAATATGTACGACTAGGAACTATTAGCTGTGTATGAAGCGATAAAATAATTTCGCCACATAGTTGCAGCAAGAAATTTTAGAATTTATACAGACCATACGCTCTTCTTTCGATTCCTCCATAAGTAAAAGACCTGTACTCGTCAAAGCAATACAGATATTATGACTATTTATCACTTCACTACAAACATCAAATTCATTCTTGATCGTGAGAACATCTGACGTATCTGGAGTGGAAGAAATAATATCTGCCATTAATTGCTAGCTTCTTGCACAAGTTCGGAACAAAGATCTGGATCTTATAGCTCTGGAGCTATAAGAACTGTTTCTTCTTGGTTCTAAGTTAAAACTGAAAAGATAACTACTTTAAATAGCAACTTACCTAATTTTCAATTAGGTAAACTTTCAATAAAATTCAGCCACCTCGTCCATACGTCACTCTTCAGTTCCGAAGATAAGTTTTCGATATGTTATACAATTTTCATCATTTCGGAAATTCAACTACAATTCGACTGGTTACACAAAGATTTGTGTCGCTAGGGATTCGTAAAGATTGTATAGAGTGAGTTAGGCAAAATTAAAAATACCAATAAAGTAAAAAATCACGTCATACCATTTCACCAATCTTTACTTACCTAACTCCATGCTCGAGATTCTCCTTCTGATGTTAGGTATTGCCTCACTGTATTGATAGATGCACTCGATGGTCTGAGGCAATACCTGTCAAGGATATCACAGCGAATGCCGTCTCTTCAAGGTCCTAACCATCTTGATTGGTGCACACCACTTCCGTACCAGAGCATACCACACATTTGCAAACAGCATCATTGAATCTTCATCGTCAGCTCACGACAATCATAATGCGTTATACCTTACATCCCAATGGACCGAAGCTCTACCATTGGTTCTGCTAGACATGCGCAGTGTTTAGAGAAAAATCTCAGCTGTTCGGCCGCCGAACTAGTTTACGATGAACCTATTTGTTTACCTGGTCAATTGCTGTGTTCTATAGATGACCACACAGTAGTCTACGCTGCGTAGACTCCAGGAAAGAGCGGAGTTGTTTAGCATACTACACGACTATGTGCGTGCGGTGCAGTAAGAAAATTGTTTTTAATTAAACACTGTACGTCCTGGGTAAATGTGTTGCCCCGCTATTTTTATCTTAATTTTTTTTATTTTTTTTTTCTTTAGTACATAAGTTATATGTCGTCCATAAGTACATCCAACAAAATGTTAATCAGTTGAAATATACGTCACTATGTTACCGACTTGGTTGTATCAATTCATTCCGCAATATTGGTGACTTCGACGTAATACTCAATGGGGATATTCGTCGTGGAGGTTAATGCTGAAAATATTGTTTTATTGACCATATAAATTCCCAGAAGACATCCTTTAGAAGGCTACTTACTGCTCTGTTTCCACTGTCCTCCTAAAAGCGGATCTCACCCATATGAAATACAAGATACGTAACAACTATAGCAAACGTGGACTCGCTAGACAATAAATAAATGACCATTAGCTCCTTTAACATCACCGCATGAAAAGGATCCAGCTCAATTAATTTCCCAGGTATATTATAAACGGGCTCTACGATTGGAGGGTGCTATAGGTAGAACTCTTAGCGATTTTCAGGAACACAGAAAACCACTACGTAAACGATTTCGAATGTTTTAGTCTGCCTCAATCAAGCCTGAAGGGAAGTGGAGTCTCATAGACAATATCATGTCTGTCATGGTACGATTCCGTCGAGCAGTATTTTGGATGGACCGGTCCTGTCTGTGAGTGGTGACGCTAGATCGTCCTCCATGTCACTCGACCATCTGATATACGATAGCTTGCCCAGAGGCTGCTTATACGCTTAGTGTAGTGCCAAGAGCGACAGCCACAGTACGTTACCTGAAACCAGTTTGCAACATTCCGACGGCTCTCATCATCTCTTCTCGTGTCAAATGTGTGGTAGCTCCATGTCGATGCAAATTTTTTTTCAGTTCCGATGCAGAAATGGTAATGGTGTTGTATCTCTACTATCACAACATAAAAATGTTTTATATTAATGAAAATTTCCAGAAATTCTTACACATAACGGATTTATTTAAACAAAATTATTTCTGATTAAAATTAAATGATAAGTCCATATTTTACAAGGCTGGATCGTAGTCTTTTGCTTTTCGTGCCCCTGTTGAGCTTCAATTGAAACGTTTGGAACGTGAACAAATCATTGTGCGAGTCAATACTAAGCTCGATTGGAAATCAACGTATTTAAAGATAGGTCTAGATGAAGCGTCCCAATCTACTTATTGCCACACACGTGGGCGCTTCCATGTATCGCAGAGGCCTTTTGGTATTAAATGTTTACCGGAAATGTTTCAAAAATTAAACGAGGGGCCGTTGAGCGGGCTCGAGGGCGATTTATCGATGGCATTTGTGTCACAGGACGAATAAAACAACATTTGATGTAATTTTAGAATTATGTAGATTGAAAGATGCTGGTCTAACTATAAAGTTTTCAAATTTTGAGTTCTTTAACGGCAAAATTTGTTAAATCGTTACATCGATCGCATTCTTAAAATTATAAAATATAAAGATATAAAACATATTTTGACCTCTCGTTACCACAATACAGAAAATACTGTGAAAACTAATTAAAGTGCTCATAAATTTACAAGTGCAATAAAAGAATATATATAAAGTCTACTACGCTGGGTCAAAATATTGACAGAGCACTAAGTAGTTTTATATTGCAATAACGTAACAGTAGCCAATCGACAACACAGCGAGCCAACGGTGGTAATGTTGGAGCGGCGCGTGCGCACGCGGCTGCGTTTTGCACACACGCAAGCGACGAACAGCGTCGCGAGCCCCTCCACCTTGGCGACGATGCACTTGTGAAAAACGGAGAGACGGAGAGGACTGGCGCTGTCGCGTATTTAGTAATGATGGATAGCGGCCAACAAAAACAGTACATGAATAAATTGAAAACATTAAAAAAATTACGAGGCCTTCCTTTCCCTCGAGTATTACTTTAGGCGATAACATTTGAACAAAATTGACACACTCACGTGACAAACGCTCCAGTCCCTAATAGTCCTCATGTAAGTCCAGTACTTGATAACGAATCAATCCAATCACTGTACAATAAATAATTATTTTGTTAAAATGAGTATCGTATCATAGATGTAAAGAACCATAGTAATGGAAAGTGTGGATGCCTTCATCTATTGTTTACTAGTTTATTATTTTACTTGTGGTTTCTTCATTTAGATTTACAATCCTAATAGAAGGGAATGAGGTAGCAAATGTGGGTATTTTAATGAAGTCTTAAACCAGCCGCCTTATTACTTAGCCCGTTTATTACAATTTCATGCTAATAAATCACATGCGTTATGACTTGATCATATTGGGAATTAGGTAGTCGAGCTTAACGTTATTAGATAGTGTTATTACTACCACAAAAAAATAAGTAATCATCGTTCCCTGACTTGGTGACATATTGGTTTAGTGTAACGACCTGGCCATCAACAGTGTTAGTCGTTCAATTTAGTGCAGTGCCTTCTCATCGTGCAGATTGTTAACTTGTTATACGGCTCTAAACCGCAAAGAACAATATCAGCCTGTGTTTACACGAGTCAGCGCAACATACACTTGGCCTTTAGCACAGCTTTTTGCCTAAATCGATCACGTGTTTAAAGTGGTGCCTTGCAGCTCGCGCACCGTTAGCGCCCCATTTACGATTAGCGGCAGCATTCTCCGCTCGCCATCCCCACGGAATATATGGGCAATCGAATGAATTAATAAGAACACAACTAAATCAACTAATCCATTTACTTAATTAAATGTATCGTCTATTTATACTAAATTTATTGTTAAACTAATATGTCTAATTCCCTATTTTCCATTTCTTTTCATACTGTAATATATAATTATATTTAAGTGAATGCTGTAAATACATTTAATAAGCATGTGCATTAATATTGTATTGTGTTTGGTGTTTATTATACAAGTATATATATATATATATATATATATATATATATATATATATATATATATATATATATATATATATATATATATATATATCATAGTGCAGTATGCAGTTGCTGTTGCTATCAATAAATAACCTTATAGTTCTGTTGTGATATTATAGCATTGTATGATGTGAAGTAGTTTTCAGCTGATTGCGCACGTATTATTTACATTAAAAAACGAGATATAAACTTTTAAGAAAAATTAAACTGATTTAAAAAAAGGGACACAAAATTAAAAAAAAATGCATTTGAATATTATGTGTTTGAAGTCGGTGTATTTTCCATTTTTTTTAAAGTTGGTTTAATTTTGGAAATAGATACGAGTATATACTAGAATTAGACTTTCAGGAACACAGGCGTGGTCCTGGTTTCATTTGGAACAGTAGTATATTCGTGATAGCAGATCAAACATACAGACAAGCAGGCGAACATTGGAAAAATGTTTCGGCCACCGTTACACAGACAGTGTGCGCGTGTGTGCGCGTGTGTGACACCGTCTAGTTACAATTTTATTAGCAAAGCGCTTGTGTGCAGAAGGTGACACGGTGATGCACCTGAAGGTGCTGGAGGTGCGTAAGGATCCTAGTCCGGTGCACGATCACGACGTGCCGGTGCTGGTGGCGTCGGTGGGGCTGCCGCGGCCGGGCCGGGCGCCGCGCGCCGCGCCGCCCGCCGCCGCCGCCGCCGCGCCACCACCCGCCGCCCAGCACCGCCAGCACCTCGACCCCGACCCTGACGACGAGGAGCCCTTCCACGTCGACATGGACGCCGACTGGGACCTCACCACCAGACAGGTTTCACTCGTTCATTCAAATAATAATATTTTAGCGCTGTATTACCTTAAAAGTAAGGAGGTAATACTCCTCTCACTAGGGTGATCACAAGGAAAATTAAATTGGGAAAATCCAAGATGGCGGACCAAAATGGCGGCGTGCATTAATATTATACATATTTAATATTCGTTATATATGTTACAATGCAATATGCTGTTGGTGTTCCTATGAATAAATAAACAAAATAAATTTTCTAGTAATTTCGAAAAAGAAACGGGGAAAATGGTTTATTTTTTCTTTTCAAATTAGGGGTGATGTGGTTCTGTGGAATAGCACCCCTTAAGGGTTTTAGAAAGATTTTGTCAAAATTAATTGGCAACATTCATATAGTGGGTGAAGAAATACGAAATTAGAATTTTATTGCAAAAGTGAAATTCCTAGGTTGGGCGCACAGACGCCAGCAGTTTTGAATGCAGAACGTCGGACAGAAAGAGGATCTGCGCTGTAGGAAAAGTTATAATATTTGAAAATTCGAGATGGCAACCGAACTAAGAGTTCTTTAAAACAATTAAGAGTGGTAATGGGGTACAATACAAAGTATTGCTAGAATGAACAATTTTCCCCGATTTACATGATTTTATTTTTAATGCAACTTAGAATTCCATTATATTCTTTCTTTGTTATACAATACATTGCATGTTTCCAGCTACTCCCATACATCAACGGGTACAATCATGTATCGAAGATAGCCGCCGACACCAACGTAGAGAAGACACTGGTCAAGTCGTGTATTCAGAATTTACTCTACTACGGTGTGGTGAGTACATATATATACATAATATATAGGTACTGGTTATTTACTTACCAACACGGCGCACCTACAGCGTGTATATTATTCATTAAACATTAAATGTTTCTAAATTTAGAGCTGCCGAATCACATTGTTTACATGATTTCATGTTGTTTGTGTCACTGCGCACCAAGTTAGTGACAGGGTTGCTAGTCTCCTCAAATTACTTGTAATGATATCATCACATTATAAAGAAACACTTTTCACTGTCGTTCTGTTATATTTAAATATGCCCTTGTTTTTTAACGGATGGTAATGAAGTGGTAACCTCGCCTGCACTAAAGATACACGCTGGCGCTGACGGATGATAGGTGAGAATGAAAAGGTATGTCAGGTAGCTCACCGTGATGAATACACCTGGCGTTCAGCACGATGGTTTCCAGGGAGGATCGCGGGGGGATTAACTTGAATGGATAGGCTATGTGAAAGATGAACAGGCCAGAACGAGTGAATGTGGAAATTATTGCGAATAGAGAGAGGAATGGAAGGAGGAGATATTACGCTAGTAACATTCGTATACTCGTGAAAGTAGTTTATTCTAAATTTAAAAATTGAAAGAAGAATTGTACTGGATACATATTGTGTACGTAACATGGCACGCCCCTTACCTACATAAATGACATTGAATTTTTATGAAATTTCAACACAATCATTGTAATAATTAGTATTCAGTTTCGTACTCAATTTGCGTTTTAATTTACTTTACTTACATATATTATAATTTGATTACTGTGATATAAAATACCTGCAATATTTTTTTTTTCTCTATAATTTTTCAATTAACATTAACAGTCACAATTAACATGTCTTATGAAAAAGAAAGATTTTATTCTTTGAGCTAAGTAGAAGTTTCAACTTCGTCACTTGTAAAATATTTAATTTTAGTAGATTTGTTGACCAACTAATTAATCATAATCAGTCAGCTCAGACCGCCTGACGGAAGTGACATATGCGCGTTCATGCAAAAAGCTTAAGCAGCACCGTGCTGTTGATTAGGGATGCAACTTGTCGAAAGACTAGTCGTGCTATATGTATTTCGTCGTCTAATCGCAGTGTGCAGTGTGCGCATGTGTGCGTTTGACAGTCGAAATTCTATAAATATTTGTGATCGCTTGTGGCTCGATGACGGTGGGGCGTGCCACGTGATCGTAGGCTCGCGATCATCTATAATGATAATGATACAGCATGTGAGCGACAGGTGACGCTGATACCCGTGCTGAAGTTCAGCAACATGTACCGAGCCACGCCGAGCCTTAGCCGCTTGTTTAGTGACCATGAACTTCAAAAGTCCTGTCTCGCCTTCATCTCTATGGGTTCTGATGCTAAACAAAAGGTAACAACGATATTGTAAGCACGCTAATCATTTCTATTTACTTTTATCCTTTATATTTTTATAATATATACCATTTATCTCGTAATTTTTTTTCATCAAAATGTGAATGAGGTATGGGAAGATTTTTATAATCAAGTTATTTCCTTGTTGTAGAGGGCTTATAAAGTGCTGATAATTTTTATGTATAAGACGGTTACATATTGTAATTAATAAGCACCTACACCAATATAAACTGACATCGAGTCAGTCGGTCACGCGTGTGCGTGCGTGTGCGTGTACGTGTGTGCGTGTGTGCGCAGCCCAAGTTGTCGGACGTGGTGGAGACGCTGTGCGCGCTGCAGCAGGGCACCACGCTGCGCGCGGTCAGCGAACGATTCTGCAGCGCGCCGCCCGCCACCTTCGACATCCGCCGCCTCGTCGTCTTCGCGCAGATGCACGGCCTCATCAAGTGTCTCAAACGGTACACCCACACGCGCCCACTAGCAGACACTACATTGTTTTACACTATAACACCAATAAACAGTATCAAACATGCAAGTAATTAACTGTGAAGATAAATAAATAATACCCCATTAACATGCTCTTGTGTATGAAATAAATTCAAAACGGCCTTCGAACTTTTTAACCTAACATATATCTACGAAAGTTTGCGAAATCCCACAAATACAAAGTAATAACTATTTATCAAAGTAAATAAAATGGTTGATCAATGGTAATGAAACAAATCACTTGCGTCACAGAAAGTAATTATTTGTGGACTGCATGTTGTTGGTATGTGTTTATATGATGTGCGTGCGCGTGCGCCGCCAGGTACCCGGTGTACATCCGGAGCCCGGCGCGGCCCAACGGGTTCGCGAGCCGCGGCGCCGGCGGCGGCGGCGGCGGCGGCGGCTCGGGCTCGGAAGCGGCGCTCGGCATCCGGCGGCTGTTCACCGGCCGCCACTGCGCCGACGAGATCTGCTGCTTGGCGCGCATCGACCTCGCCGCGCTCGACCAGATCATCGAGGACGACCCCAACATCGCCATCATATGGAGGTAGACACGCGCGCGGACCCGCTGCCTGGCATTTATATACTGGCTACCACGCTCACTCATACTCTAACCCCCTATACTTATGAAAATCTCACTACTCCATACTATAACATCCCATGGTTAAATACAGCCGGCGCAACCCGACGTTAGTATTCTTTTGAGGCCATAACCTACACAAGTCGTAATTAAGTACTATTCGTAAAGAAACATTGGGCAAATAATTATACCAATGATCTTGTCTTCGCCCAGTGTCCAAGTATTGTAGACTTTATTCATTAATGTATTCGTAGTCTGCGCTGGTCGCGTGCTATCGGGCGGGCTGTATGCTCAGCTATTATACATTTGTAAATATAGGGGGTTAGTATAACTTTGCTATGGCTGTAAGGTTAAGGATACGTCGTAGTTTTCCAGTTCGTTTCTTGTTAGTATCATGAGTCGTTGTGGAACCAAGGCTCCCATGTCAACAGCAGGTCCCTTTTGACCTTCCACTACCTACACTACGTTACTGACGCTATGTGTGTGTGTTGGTAATGTTTTACAAATCTTAATGTTTGTAGTATTAACTTTTTGTTGTCATAATTCTTTTGAATAAATTCAGAATTATAATGTTTTGTTTGCAATGTTAATTGGTATCGGAACTGGAATGTGGCGCACGTGTCCTAAATCCTGTGAGCTCGTGCAGTCCAACTGCACATCGACCGCTGCGCGTGGCCGGCCAGTGATGCGGCAATCATCTAGCGATTACTTTATTCAGTATTATTACTTTCAAACGTCGTATTATATTTATACATTTTGTTATATATATATATATATATATATATATATATATATATATATATATATATATATATATATATATATATATATATATTATATTGTAGTTAATAGTTTTAATTTTTATCTGTGGTCTGTTGATCACACATATATGACTTATTGTATATATACTTACGCAGACAATAATCGCACCACTGAGCCTTTCACATCACACTGTAGATGTTCATCGTCGTAATAGTCTTGCCTTTTCCCATTTATTTGTGGTCGGCGCAGTATATGCTCTTCCACGATTTCCTATTACCTGTTATTTCCGAGATCACTTCTCTTTTATTCATGTCATCTTTCATACAATCCATCCACCTTTACTCCGATCATCCCCTTCCATTACATCCATCCACTTTTATTTCCGCGCACAACATGACCATAGGTATATCACAGTAGGTATTACGTAATATAAATCATTATAAGAATTTGACGCGTTCATTCGAGTTGGACTGAACTGTATGTGATTATAAACGATGCCTGTTGCTTGTTTGTAAAGATGTGACCAAATGCACAGATGCATTGCAACCACATCTCAGTGCGTGAACGCGACTAGTATTGTGTGGTGTAGCAGTACACTTGATTCGCGTCGGTTGTCACCATAATAACGCCGTCGTTCACACCAAGTGTCGACGGTGCAGTTATTTTAACAGCCAACGACGCCGTCACTGTAAAACTACGAGTTAAATTCTAATTTTAGAACAGTGACACAGGAATTCTCGCAATATTATTATGTAACGACTGTGTTATATGCGATATTCACAAGTCGTAAGTTAGTATTAGTGCGCCGAATATATTTTTCTACGTAGTTTAGTGTAATGTAATATGTACAATAACATGCACGGTACGGCCGAGCCGAGCGTGCAACGTGCACCATAGGGCCGGTACAGGCGCGTAAACATTCTCGTGCTACGGCTGGGGCTGCGTGACCCACATTGCGGACGCCGCGCCAGACAAAAATAATATGTTTTGTCCGACGCATCTAAATATTGCTCTCTGACATCACTTGTATAACTTTCCGGGAAAATCGAAAAAACCGCAGCCCTGTCACCAAGGATCAGTATAACATATTGAAAACGCAATGTCCGCTTTCAGCACTGTCGCTCAAAGGATGGACGTATATGACACTAGAAGGAAATATTTTACTGTTTTAACCATTTGCACGATCGGCTCGGGTGATCGGAATAACACGTTAGACTGTAGCTTTTGTATAGTAATAACGTCGACTAGTTTTTTTTTTTTTTTATAACAATTTTAACGGTTTACTTCTTATTTGGCATTCACGTGCTTTCTATTCTAGCTAATAATTCTAGTTACGAGTATACCACTTGCGGCATTTAGCTTTTATGAATAATATGTTATTCAAATATACATTGACAATGTATTAGGGAATCTTAAATATTGGTTTAGTTGAACATTTAAAATGTTGATAGGAACAATTTAATCTTCGCCGAGTAGCGTCTCTAATTACGTCGCCGGACTTGACACGTTTCAATTACTTAATGTCATTAAAGCTCGAACATACGACCACTACGTATGTTAATTAAATACCGGCTGGTGTCTTGGAGGAGAGCACTACTCATGGTTAAAACTAACTATATAAGTTCTAGGGAATCTCAAATCGTACGGTGTTGCAGGGCACGTGTGCCGTGCGTCGGCTGTGCACCTGTGTAGCTCACGTGTAGATTTAAATCGATAATTTTTTTAGAATTAAGGGAATAGCAATTGAATAGAAATCAAATAGCAATCGAGGAAGTGCCCGTCAATAGACAATAAATAACATGTACATATATGTATATGTCGTGAAACCACATCACATCACAGCACAGCACAACACAGCACAGCGCAGCACAGCACAGCGCAGCACAGCACAGCACACGCCTTGTGAAGGCTCTACCAGTGTAACTGACCAATTGGTGCAAAGCGCCACACGCCTCGGGAGGGGACGAAATATTCGAGTTACGCATATTGAGTGGAGCGAGGGCGTGCACGGGGGCTCGACGCGTTCCGTAAATATTCCTGCATTATTACATCGTATTGTTGTTGTAATTCGGACTAGTATTTAAAATGTATACTTTATAGTGAGACTAGAGCTGTGAATGCGAGTTTTCGGTATATTATTTATTTAAAAAAAAAACAAGTTAGGCTGTATTGTGTCGTAACTATAAGTAAGGCCGTTTCAAGCGACCACGGACAAACGGCGAGACGGACAAACTGAAGCGATTAATTATTAAGCAACTAACACTAATCTAATTAGATCGGTGCGTGATCGTGCGAGCTCGCGGTGCACTTTGCTAGTTGTTCCGTTTTATTAAAGTATATTGTGCAGTAAGTCTTCTCAATTTGCGAACTGATTCACAAGTTTTGCACACAATTGATTGTACGTACCGACATTACATAGCACGTGTCGCTCGGTACACATACATGTATGCATGTAGTACAACTGTAAGCGGGCGGGAGCCCTGTTTGTACACTATTGTAAATTTGCTATGGTCATTTATAACTTATTGCGCTGTACAATATGATATTTCATGTCCACGGAAAAATATTATAATGAGCTGCACGAAAGAACTAGCGAGCGCAGGTACCTGATATGTAATATGGCAACGACAGCAGCGCTCGCTGTGCTCCCGCGCTGAAGGGATACAAAAGTATACCTGTTACTAATAATTTGTGTGTTCCTAGTATGTTTTTATTTACGTAAGTATAGCGTTAGCCCTTTGGCCTTTTGTCCGTCGTTGTTCAAAATAGACTAGTAGGTACGTAGTAGGTAGGCCCAGTATACTGGGCACACCGTGCAACTTGCGCGGCGTAAGCGTTCCGATCCCACGTTACGGAAGGGGGCGGGCGGCGGGCTCGTGTTGACAGTATTACAGTATTTTTTTTTTTTTGTAATTTTTAAGGTTTAATACCGTGTGTAGCTTGTACTTATTAAATTTAATATTTATTTTAGTACAAAGTACTTGCAACTGGTGCGGCTTTGTTATTTGCCAGTTTAAAATTAATTTATTGGCGTAGAGACATTCGGTTCACCGTTCTGTTCTCAAAACTGTTAACCGAATGTCTCTACGCCAATCATTGAGCCGAAATCAGTTATTGGCCGTTAATGACATTAGAGACATGTTTGTTTGTTTGTTCTGTTGCATTGTGTATATGCGTATACGTTCTATTTTAGACACGTTAACTAAACGTACGCGTGTCTCGGCCTGTCTCACGCGTGCGATAGCGTAAACGTATATACAGATATATTCGTTTGTCATTCGTCTAGAGGGTCTTACGAAACCCCTGTTGGACAGTGCAGCGATTAGTGAGTCAGTGTCGAGATATGGTTCCGGTTGAACCCTACACCTGTAGACAGTCGGCGTATACAATGTTTTGACGTGTATATGTACCTATTTGTATTTTCATACGACTACCGTATTGTATTGTGGGTTGTAGTGCACTAACACGGCGTGTATTGATTGTATTGACGTGTATCGTATAATTGCAGTGTTTCCACTTGATCGTGTGTTGCGTGCCTATATTAAAGTTAATATGTGACACTACTTATTGTTAAGAATCCCCTTGTATTGTAAAATTGTAATAATTTGTTTTTTAATCAATGAAATAAATGAACAAATAGATTAATAAGATTTTTGCCTTAATCCTCTTGTACTGTACTGTAGATGTTTACTTGTGGCTATCTTTCAATTGATTTGTATCGATAATAAAGACACGTCAGACTGTTTACTAAATATACTAAATAAGATAATGTACTATGTTTGTGATGTGCGTTCTTGTTGCTTGCACTGAACTATTTGCCACGCCTTTGTTGTGTGTTGGTTCGGGGAGGGACGCCCTTCGCACTCAATATATCTATATACAATAGGTTTTTTCTACGTACGTCACAAATAGGGAATAATATCAGATGAAACCATTAAATGTAGATCGGTTGATTAAACCTAGTATGATAAGTAACAAGTGTTTGTGTTTTGATACTAAAGTGATATAGCCAATGACTTGTGAATGTAATCGATTCCTATAATAAATAAATTGACATACATTTGCTGAAGATATGCCCTGTGTTTTTATTTTAACCTTTATGTTTTAACTTGATATCAACATATCGAACCTTAACTGTCCACTGCTGAACATAAACCTTCTCCTTGGGGGTTTTGCCAGTAGTTGCCACGCTTGGCAGGCGGTAGGGCAACTGCAGTTAGGCTTAGGAGATGTTTTAAGAGGGACGCTGCTGCCCATTGCTCGCCCTCCCGTAGTCGCCTCTTACGACACCTACAGGAAAGGAAGGGATGGTCTATTCTATGCCGGAACCACGCAGCCATTAACGGTTTTAACTTGAAATACATGCCAAAGAATATTATTCCTTTTTTAATGGGTGAAAATGAAAAAGACCCCGCCTGAGTTATTGATATACCCTGATGGGGCACCAGTGTGAGACGATAGGCGAAGATGAAGCAGGCCGGCTCATAGTTATGAATTGCACAATAAATAACCTCGGTGGTTTCCCAGAGAAACCGCATGGTGGTCAACTTGACAGCGTATATTACTAGCAATGAGGTTTTTAGATCACATTACTAATGATCCCTCCCCCACCTCTCCCTATATACTACAAGCTGGCATAACAATCGGGAGGGGAGAGCGACTGTTAGAGATCTAACCAGCGTGGTTAATAATTGTTCAATTCGTCACGATGGGACAACAAACCTTGATCGTCACCTATTACTATTATCCCTAATTGGTGCCTTACCACCGTGTAATGATAGCGCAAGCGGGGTCACTATTTCAATTAATATAAATTTTTAATGGGTGAAACCCATTAAAAAAGGGGGAAAGAGATTGTTAGTAATGGAGACTGTGAATTCCATTGCTAGCAATATACCCAACCAGGTCGACCTCCTCGTGGTTCTCCCTGGAAACTATCATGGTTAATTCCTGATGAATTCATCATGATGTGCTAACTGGCCTGTTTTCATTCTCATCTATCACCCTTCACTGGTGCTCCGCCAGCGTATCCCGTTAGCGCAGGCGGGGTTACCATACCATTTTCACCCATTAAAAAAGGGATAAGGGATTGTTAGCAATAGGGAGGTTAGTCCTCGTTGCTATCAATACACCCTACCAGGTCGACCTCCATGCGGTTCCCTCTGGAAACCATCTTAACTGATTTATCATTAAATTCGTCACGATGGACTAATTGACCTGCCTTTTCATCTTCACCAATCATCCCTCACTGGTGCCCCGCTAGTGTATACCGATAGCACAAGCGGGGTTACCATATTATTATCATCCATTAAAAAAAAAACAAGATCTAGCAAACGTGCTGCAGCCTGCATTCATAAAATGACCACAAATAAAACTACAACAATTTGTTACACTTAAATTTACATTTATTATAATTGGACACTTGACAATTATAGATAAAAAAAAAAACATTATTAAAATATGAGAATAATATACCAAAACATTATGTATTTGTAGGGAACACGTTGAACTTCACCAGCATTTACAAACTATTCTAATAATGTTTTTTTTTTTTTTTAGAATGCTTATATTTAATGGCGCCCTGTTCACTCAGTATTTGTATCACAGACATCGCGTCGTTATAATTAAAAAATATTGTATTTTAAAAACTCTTAGCGTCCTCCGCTTGATAAATAAATTTCATTTTAATACATGTGGTAACTCGGCATTGCCGAAAGACTTTGAAAAATAAATGAAATATGGTTAATTAAACATGTACCGCGCTGTATCCCTGGTACCTGCATTAGACAAACTTGTATGTACAAATTGTATTTTAAAACGCACACACGGAAACAACAATCTAAAATAAACGATAGGTACAAAAGACATAGCTCGTTGTAAACAATTGATACTTAACACTAGCATGAAGCAAACATTACATTATATTAAATATTATATTAATAGCTGATATTGTCAACTTATAAGTATGGAGCCTCCGCTTACGAGGAACACGCAAAATAAAACAGTTTTTTTTTTCGTAATATTTGGCATATTTAGAAAACAATTTCGGCACACCTTTTTATCGAAGTGGGTCGTTTAAAAATAAGACAGACAAAAGTTACACAATGATAAACCAATAAAAATATTTTGTTTCAGCCACCGAGCTGTTTATTTACTTGATGCCCCGTTATTTCGATAAAAAGACACGAGGGACTAATATTCCTCGCTAGGTACACTGACGGACGATCGTCCCTCGCCTGCAGAGGCCCTGATACGTAGTACTAACAATAATGACTCGGTAAGTCAGTAGCAGTCAAAAACTATCTTAAGTACTATAGGGAAGCTTTAAATACATTCCTAGGTAAGCACTATCCATATTGTAATAAAAACGTTGGCGGTAGTCTTGGGCAGTTCACGGTGCACTCAGGTGGAAAAGCGCTCCTTTAGGCGAACTAGTTCAGCGATATTCTCGCTCTTAGTTCTTTATATATATATTCAGACGTCAGCTCTATTATGGAGCAGCGCTGACCACTTACTGATTTGTTTTTTCTCTTATATGAAATCTTATATACAACAGAATTTATGAAACAATTCGTGACTTCGTTTCAAATTTTTTCATAAAACTATCTATATAGTAACATTTGATAAAATTTGAAATGACGATCTTTAAAATTTGGGTATGTACATATTATAAATAAAACAATTAGTTTTCTTGAAATCTTCCAAAAAAAGAAAAACTAACGAAGTAAAAGAGTGAACTAGTTCGCCATAGGTGTGCCAACTAACTTGAGTGCTCTCAATGATAACCGAATATGCCCAAGTCTAATTGGCAGAACATTGGCGTAGTTGTTTTAGGTGGGAGGATAGCCGGCCTGCGGCTGGTTTCTCGTAAAATGAACAGCTCAAATATCCGGAGTTGAGAATCGTTCCAACGAAGTTCAATGTTTGTATTCGACTAGTTACCTTAGTTTTTAAGCAAGAAATAAACATGTTTTCAGATATGTCAACACTCATGCACAACTTGTCCTGTCCGTGTGAATTTTACAAAAGTTACGATCCCATTGTTTACATAGATGTTTTTATGGTGATCTGAGTTTCTGAAACTAACCGCTAGGGGCGTATTAATTTTGCAATTCAATTTATTGACGTAAACGCGAACGCGAATAGTAACGTAAATGTTTGTACAACTCGCACTCGGGACCCAGTTTTGTTTATGGAAATCATGCCACCGGTCTGCCGTCGCAATGTCCGCAGTGGGCTTCAGTGACGGTGGAAAACGACTTTTCTAAGCGAGCGACTAGTTTTGTAGGGGCACTACCCTCCCTTGACCCACCTGCTTACGGCCGTTTAGTATTTCCATCTCACTAAATCGACAACGCGCCGGGCTGCCTATAGCAATGTCGCCGATGTATAATTTGTTGCACTTACCTAGTAAACTTGTCCCGGTACAATTAGTATCACACACTTTCTTATATAATTATAAAATACCCCATTATAAATTCTATCTTTATCAAAATAAGTATGCACGAATTTTCACCGCAGTAAAACATAATTCCTATACTAATACTTCAAGGTAGGTTGGTGTCGCTTTCAATGTTCAGTGCAAGAGAAGTTTCTCCGCAATGAACCACGAGCACAGAATAGAGAAATCTCTATCCTGTGCCACAATGTGGGCACAGCTCCAATAACAACTATTTAATAGCTACCTAGTCTTATTTAATCCTTACCCATTATATTATTTTCCCTACAAACACTCGCTTAGAATGTATACACAGTGATAGAAAGAGTGTTTACTGATTCACCAGGTTCTCCACTACACAGCTAGACCGTGTAATATCTGCCGGTGTCGAGAAAATAATAAAATGGGCTAACTATAGTTGCAACGTGTCACATAGGTGTAAAACTAATTAGTGTTTAAGTTGAAATTCCTGGTTATCTCACGTTGTAAAATAATTCGAACAATCAGAATTCCACCTTAAAACTAATTAAGCCAACTTACAAGCGACAGACGCGTTCAGCTGCCACTAGACTCGGAACGCTCTCACGATGGACGCCAAACTCTCGTACGTGCCCGTGACGAACACTAACAAGCCGAGCAGGATGATGGCGCAGTCCTTGAGGACGACGTATGGACGTAGGCCGCCCGCCTGCTGCGACTTCATCACCATGTCGATGATGGGTGGGAACATGAGCGCGAGCGCTGTGCTGCTCACCGCGCCCACCAGCGATATGAACAGGCCCAGCTCTGGTATGGACTCGGCCAGTATGACTGCAACAATACATAAGTACCAGTTGGTATATAACATATATATAATTGTTGTAAACAGAGTGATCAGAGCAGTTCATGAACACCTGCAACATTGCCGACGTCATTCATACGAATGCATTGCTTATTACGTGAATATCATATAAATATGACATGACGTTGACCATCCAGTAAATATTTTTTAGAATTGTAGACAATAAGCTCATGTGTATCATTGCAAGTAATATTCCTTTCCAAGTGATACCAGTATGGTGCAGACCGTCCATGGCTTTAAAACTCAAACAAAATGATTTTACAACACAATTGATGGTTGAGTTACTTATATGTATAATAAATATTTTATATTTATATTTATATATGTATCTATTAGATTGTTGATTGTAAGAAATCTCCTTAAGCGATAAGTCCGCCTGTGTACATTTTTGTTACAACCTAACATTTATTCTGTAAGTGAATATAAAAAAGCATATAAATAAATAGCAACAAGCATACGTGATATTTAAATACCGCTACCAGTACGCTAGGCGTTTATATTAATGTACTATAGCTAGAACCAAGTGTCACCTGATAAGTTGCAAGCGAATCTATTAAACTAAAATTTCATCCCAATCATCTGGACGAGTGGCGGTCCTCCACCGTGCGTTTATCAAGGCACTTTCTTCCACGCACAACCACTCTTTGGAATCAACTTCCAGCAGCAGTATTTCCGAACCGATACGACAACATAACCATCAAGAAAAGGGCATATTCCTTTTTAAAAGGCCGGCAGCACACCTGCAATGCCGTAGGTGTTGTGGGTGACCATGAGCGGCGGTAGTCACTTACCATCAGGTGAGCCGCATGCTCGTTTGCCCCCTGTGTTGTAAAAAAAAACTTACGCTAACTACGGTGCAAGAGGCCGACCACACGGTCCGGATTTGTTTGATGGGTGCAGTAGCGGTAACATATGGTAAATAGATTCATTTGCCACTGGTCTGAGCCCGCCATGCTAACAGCATACAATGACGAGGTACTTGTGGCAGGTGAGCCGATGAGAATTAAATCAAATCACTTGACCCACCGTAGCGAGTGCAGTACTAGTTAGCCACGATGGTTTCCAGGGGAGATCGGCCTGATGGGGTATGTGATAGCAATGGAAACTTTGTTCGCGTTACTAACAATCCCTTCGCTTGCGCTATCGGTATAAGCTGGCAGGGCATCAGTGAGAGATAACAGGTGACAATGAAGAGGCAGGCCAGTTAGCCCATCGTAATGAATACACCTGGGGGACGACCACGTGGAAGTCAACCTGATGCGATATATTGCTAGCAATGGGACTGGCAGTCCACATTACTAACAAATCTTTACCTCCAAAGTGTAAAGGGTTATGTGCACTTGTAATAATACGTACAAGTGAGCAGTACAAGGATTCCTCTGTACACGAGCTCCTTGAGGACGGGCGACTTGGTGGCGAACTTAGTGCGCAGGTACGGCCACGTGATGTCGATGGGCACGTAGAACTGCAGCGGGTACGTGCACAAGATGGCCAGCGCGATCAGGCTCTGCACCACGTTACCCAATCTGCAAACATGTTAATACATGGATTTTATATATTGATTTTTTATACATCTTAGAGTGGTAAACAAACTGACGGCTTAATGGCAAATGATAACCTTTGCCGACACACATGAATGAAAACATGAACATCATAGAATGGAAGCCCCATTATATCCCTCATGAATAGCAGAATGGAATATGCTGTTGTGCCTCCGTAGCCTATAAATTCACTGTCATGTCGCATTCTTCAAATTATGCGAGCACAACTCCTTAGAGTATAAAGACAAATGGGACAATAGTACCCATGCAAATAACATTTTCAAAGTCTCCCTATAATATATTGTAAAATGAGCTCTCTGCCGAGGTTTTCCCAAGAGACTACAGCATGGAGTTCTTCAAAAGGGGGGTAAAGGTTTCTTCAGGGTCGGCAACGCACGCGTTATGCCTCTGGTATTGCAGGTGTTCATAGGCTACGGTAACCACATACCATCAGGTGGGCCGTATGCTTGTTTGCCACCTCTGTGATATAAAAAAAAAACCATTAAACCAAAATATTAGCCTTCATTCTTCGACAACCGGTTAAAAATCTAATTTATAACTCACACGCGCCCTGGTTCCAAATTTAGCGTAAGACTGCCTTGCACGTCCTCGCCCCACTTGAGGTAGCCGAGGAAGCCGACGGTGACCACAATGCTGACCACCACTACCATGCCCACGTTCAGCACCCCCAGCGGCCTCTGGAACTGCTCCGGGCGACGCATCTCATTCTTCAATGGCAACACCTGAATCCAATACATTTCAGTAGATAGAAAGACACTCTTTATTGTTTCCTCCAAAAGAATATAATTCTTTCTTCTTTCTTTCAATAGTAAACTTATTATAGATATAAACAATTACGAGAAACGATCATAGTGAGAAAACAATGGGCGACCTTGACGCTAAAAGCAATCTCTTCCTAACCTTTGAATGGAGAGGAGTAATTATAAACAGTTTGATTGGAGGCATAATTAAAATTATGTTTATAAACGAGTTATTGAAGTCGCTGGCGGAAGACCCAAAAAAAAACAATTTTATAAATATAACTAAATTTAATTCTAAAATTAATTATTACAATAATAATTGTCTTCAGACCGATGTGTGATCCGTAAGTGAAGTTATATCGAATCAAACATAAAGGAAATGGGTATTTTTGCTGCGGGAACTGAAATGCTGACTCGACGCAGGTGTCTTTCTCGGTAGCGCACCTTCTTGCGGCATGCTAGGTGGTCCGATCCGATCGCCGTGGTGTCGTAATATTTGATAGGTATCTACTATAATAAACGCATATAAAGGAATAGGTACACTCGAATACTTTGCAAAGCGTCATAGCGTACTTTATTTGTCCCTAATTATTTTTTATCATAACCACGGACAAAGCATTTCGTCCGCAGAGAAAATATCCATCACCTGAAGAGGCGTGACTTTTTTAATCGGATTTAAATAAAATGATAATATTATCGATAGTGGTGGTACTACCGGTATTCGCTGCGCAGTACCAATCATTATAAATTACAACTTGGACAAGCAGAGGAAAGGAATGTTACCAATGTGGATATTAGTTCCTATTGAATGACCTCCACGCGTTCCCAGGGGAAACCCCTGGAGACCAACGTGGTTAATTTCTACTGAATGTAGTCTCGCCGTGTGGTCCTGGCGTAGAATAGACCACTCCTTCCTTTCCCGTGGGTGTTGTAAGAAGCAACTGTGAGAATGCAAGGGATGGGCAGCAACGTCCCTCTTAAAACATCTCCAAAGTCTAACTGCGGTCGTCAATCCGCCAGTCAAGCGTAACAACTACCCCAAACCCCCCAAGGGGAAGGCATACGTTCAGCAGTGGACAGTTAAAGGCTGATAGGATAGTCTCGCCGCAATAGGCTGACTGGCCTGTCTTCATCCTCATCGTTTTGCACTGGTGCACTACCATCATGTTAGCATACTTACGCTACATTATTTCATCTTCATTCATTAAACACAACTTTTTATGCACTTAGAATGGTAGGCAAACTGATGGCCTACCTGATGGAAAGTGGTAACCGTCGCCTATAGATATGAGCAGCACCAGAGAAATAACAGAGTATACTGTTTCGCCCATGATACCTCCCATGCGTTGCCATTCCTGAGGACTCAGGCGTAATTCCTCTGTGGCCTGTAAATTCACTGCCATATCTCAAGCTTCAAACCGAAACAACCATGCAAATACAACTGCTTCACGACAGAAACACGAATGAGACAAAGGTGCCTAAGTAAACGACTTTTGTACCAGAGAGAGAGACTCCCTCTAGTATCTACCGACAAGATAGTTTTGGTGAACGCTCGCATGAGAAAGAGTAGCACACACAACGTCACCATCTCACTTGATCTCGAGGACTTGCTAATGATAACGATTCGATCGGTAGATTCGTTTGCCACTTGCCTAGGGGAGGAAGTCCTTCGACACATCGTGATGAAATCACCAGAAACTAAACATAACGGTTACCAATGAGGACCGGGTGGAGGTCGACCTGGAGTACATTGCTAGCAATGAGGTTAGTATCCGTTACTAACAATTCCGTCGTCCTAATCTATTGAGTTAGTCAGGTAGGTAGTTAAAGGATAATTAAATAACGGAAAATCAAATAGCTAATGGCGCGCGGAAGAGTAAAGAGTAAATAAATGGTCAAGATAATAGAGTAGAAAAAAAAAAACTAGGAATAGACATAAAAAAATAGTATGTACATCAGTTATAGACATGCATAATATTCGAATAATATGTTGACACAAAAATTAAGTACATATTGTAGTATAGATAAGAAGGATTCATTACAATAATTTGTTTTATTAATTATCTAAATTTAAGCATTATACTAATATTGAATTAAATTTCATTATCATTATAGACGTATATATCTACTCGTAGATATATTTTGCTAGCTTTTTATCAGCTACTTCGTGCACGCGGATTTCAGAAGTAGCGAAACCAATGAAATATATACCACTTCCAGATGACGTAGAAAAAAACACACGGTTTCACGTTATACCTTCAGGAACACAACTGGAAAAATTGCATCGAATTTGGTGCATGACGCCGGAACACACATACAAACAGACAGACACCAGAGGGAGACTGTACAAAAGTCGATTGCTTGGGTACCTCTGTCCCATTCTTGTTTCAACCGTGAAGCAGTTGTGTTTGCATGCTTTCGGTTTGAAGGGTAGGATATGGCGTGAATTTACTGGCTACAGAGGAATAACATCTAAGTCCTCAGGAATGGCAACGCATGGGGGTATCATGGGCGAAACAGTATACTTGCCGCTTGTTTGCCATTCTAAGTTGTATAAAAAAACACACACAAAATAACTAACTAATACTATATTGCCGTCTATTTTTTTTTTATGGGTGAATACGGTATGGTAACCCCGCCTGCGCTAACGGGATACGCTGGCGGAGCACCAGTGAAGGATGATAGATGAGAATGAAAACAGGTCAGTTAGCCCATCATGACCAATTCATCAGGAATTAACCATGATAGTTTCCAGGGAGAACCGCGAGGAGGTCGACCTGGTTGGATATATTGCTAGCAATGGGATTCTATTGCCATCTATTGGTCTTATTAAAAGTCACCAAACAAATTTTTCCTAAATATCTCCCACCTACAGAATACAAATATGTCCTTATAATTTTATATAAAAAAAGTCCAATTTACGACACAAAGTAAACATTTTAGGTATGTAGAAAAGATAACATATGAAAATACCCATCATGTATTCACTTATGGCTACCACATATGTAGTGTGTTGGTGGTGTCTGCCTGATGTCATCACAGTCATCAGTTTGACAATGCCAGCAGTAATTATACCAAAAAGTTGTAACAATCAAGGATGACATGCGGACAGGCCGTGCTGACGTAAATGTAAATAACTCGCCGGCGATTATGATGCACCTTTTGTTAATGGTAGACCGATCAGTTGCCGATCACAGTTCGTCACACGGACAAAAGCAGCCATCTTCTCATATCCGGCCCGGTAGTTGCATTCAACGACTGCTGTTTAAAGCATTTATCTACTCAAGCTCATAATGCGCCTTTATATTCAATTTAATTCTTGCGCTGGCTATTTGGCAATCCGTAACGAAGCAGACTACAAACGCACAAAAGAAAATGAATATTATATGGTTAAAACCAACTTTTTTATTTTTACTAAATTTTTACTAATTTATAAAGCATGAATGAATGGAGATGTTGGTAGAGGCCACCCTAGATGGACAGCATAATCTTAGCTATTATCTAGCCACTGCAGAAAATAGGCCTCCCCCATAGACTGCCATAAAGAACGTTCCTGAGTCACCTTCATCCACTGACTCCTTATAATGTATTTGAAGTCATCACTCCATCTAGTGGACATCATCTTACACTGAGTTTTTCCATACGGAATCGCTACTCAAGAACCTTTCTTCTTCATTGTGGATTGTTACCAATCCATTACCACTTTAGCTTGCTTATCCTTTGGGTTATGTAGGTCACTTTGATTCTTTTGCGGTTATCCTCATTTCGGATTCTGTCATTCAAAAAAACTTCGAGTATAGCTGTCCATGTTCATTTTAAGACCTATCTTTTGAGAAGCACTATTGAGGTAATTAAACTTAGTATTCAAGTTCTCTAGAGATTCCGCCATGATTACTATATCATTGGCGAATTGAAGGTGAGTGCTATATTCGCCATTAATGTTTATACCATATCTTTTCCAAGCCAGAGGTTTAAAAATATGTTCTATTGCAACTGTGAAAAGTTTAGGAAATATGACGTCACCTTTCCTTACACCTTTGTCCACTGGGATGGGTTTTGTATCCTGGTTCTGTATTCGGATAGACATCATAGCCTTACATTTAAACGTGTACAGTTAGTTGTCTTTTCAATCTCAATCTAAATCTCAGACGTACCGGAATTTATATCACCGATGTCAGACTTCATTTAAAATTTAGCTCCTACTACTTGAACAGTTTCCACTGGCTTATCATTGATATCGTCTGCTGTTTTATACTTCACCAAGCCCAAAAGTAGCCCGAGAGTATATGAATAGATTGATAAATGTGAGAGAAGCGAAAGAGGTTTGTTAGAATCGGAGCATTTGGCGATTAATTTTTTCTGCCTACCCCAAAGGTAGTATTATTTTTTAAGACCAGTAGTTTCGTTATATGATCAAATGACTATGAGGATTAATATCCTCATCGTCATCCTGTTAATACAGAAGATAATATTCTTGTTTAATTAAATACTCGTATTATATGGTCAATAACATTTAAATACTTGTTTTAAATCAATTTTGGTACGAAAAATCAAAAAATATTTCATGTGGAATTCTTTTCGTTGGAGTCCCTTCTTTAAATTAAGAATCAGTTTTTTTGTGTTTGTCTAATGCTTTCGTGTCCATGTAGGACATGGCCAACAGTTACATATTGGAGACAGCAGTGTAATGCTGACAGTAGTGACCTCGCGCTCGTAACATCCAATCAACGAATGCTATATGTCAGAATATAAGCTTGATGGTAACAACTATTCTGGTATCCGGAGCTTGATGATACACTTTAGGATAAAAGACCAAAGCCCCAAATAATTATTTATATTGTAATTTTAGTATGTATTCATTGATTTTTTTTTAATTCCATTACATGATTATTAACAAGCCAAAAAAAGAATGTATTTCTAAAAAAGTTTATGTACATATTATAGTCTCTTCATGCAGTGCTCTTGAATATAATAATTTTATACCTCTTGCAGCAGATTTTACAATAGCTATCTTACACTTCAATGGAATAAAGAATTTTCTCCCCCGATCACTTCGATTATTAAATGATCCCTGTCAAAGTTTTCCCTAGAGACTACAGTGTGGGATTCTTCTAAAATGGCATATTAAGGTTTCTTCAGGGTTGGCAATGCCCACCTGATATACCCCTAGTGTTACAGGCGTCCATAAACTACAGTGACCGTTTACTATAAAACGGGCTGTATACTAGTTTGCCTACTTTAGTGGTATTAAAAAAAAATCATCATTCCTAGTCCTTCTCTCGAACTGGTCTTAACCTCTCTACGTATTTCCAATATGTAAAATTTCAAACAAACTTTACACTCGGTACATTCACACATTTATAAGACATCTGTATAACATCTAGGATCAGGAAGAAAAGGAATTGTTAGTAATGCAGACTACTAGTCCCATTGCTTGCAATATACCTTGTCAGATCAACATCCACGTAGTCTCTGCCGAAAACCATCGTGCTGAAAGTCCCAAGTGATGGGCTAAGTGACTTGCCTTTTCATTCTCACCTATCATCCCTCACTGGTATCGCCAGCGTATACTGTTAGCGCAAGCGGAGCACCACTCCAAAAGAACTTTAAAACAAACGTCTAGGACCATGCTGTTTCTATTTGAAATTGCCTGTGTATGACAATTTTACATAGTCGTAAATGAATATATATATACCTATATACAAAAATATTTTTTAATATCTATTTTTATTATTTGTTGTAATCACTCACCAGTCCGATGCCTTCAAACGCATATATAGCCGTCCCAAAGTACAAGGGCAGTTGCTGCCACGAGGCCATGTACTCCCTGGTGTTGACGGGGGGCAGGTTCTGCGCCGCTTCGTACACCACCGCGCTCACTCCCACGGCCATCATTATGTTAGCCACAGTGGAGAATGGAGTCAGGTACTTGAGATTCCGCACCATGCATGACAGCAACACCGGTATCACCACGAATATCATGTGTATCGACAGGTCTATGTTGATGCCGTACTGATCACATATCTGATAATCAAACGCAATATGTTCTAACATTCTATTGTAACTTTTATCAACTTTAGAAAAAGGAAATTCCTTAAATATCATAATCCCCCTTTTCAGAGCTACGTGGAATCCTACAGTTGTTGTCCTGTCAATATCTGTCATGAGTATCTAGTGGGATGATCAAAATGTACATTAGTTTTATATTCTCTTGAACTTGATGTAAGTGTTAAAAAAAATGGTTCATACAAGCACACGTTTTTTGTCCCAATGTACATAATTGAAGACGGGAAAAGATTTCCAAAGCTTTTATACATTTGTTTATTTTATGACATTTACCTCGTCTCTGATGTAAATATTAAAAAAATTATATTTACCGAAATTCGAGTTTTACAGTAACAAATATAATATATTTAGATATATCTATTTAGTATGTGGTGTTTGTACTTATCGTCAGAAAGTTAGGTTAGGTTTGATTTGGTTCAGTGAAGGCCCCAAAAAGGATCGTTTTTTTTTATAAAATCCTTACATTTATCAACTCATGTTGGTAAAATCCTTTAGCAATGTACGGACTTTAACAGTAACATATATCTGTAACATTGTAATAGTGTGTCCAATATTAACAAAATATCTTAGAAATTAAGAAACCAGCCTGACCGGGGAAGATAAGATTAGTTTATTGTATATTGTTACAAACAATGAAGAAAATTCTCACCAATTTCAAATTGTTTGCTATGAATACTATGTAGACACAACAGAAGCCCAGCTGCGTGATACAGAGGAACCCGTTGACCAAGATCTTCATGGTGGACGCGATGGGCCGAAGCCGCGGTGGGCCATGTGTGAACACCAGGTACACGGTGTCAGCAAAGTTCGCCGACTTGGCCCTCTTTGTTTGTCGGTTCATTTCTTCTGAACAATTCAGCTGGCCATTGAAAAAAAGGGAGTTTAATGTAAATATCCATGTAGGTACACTTGAATAACTATACACACAGAATTTGTTAAGGTTATCTTCTATTAGGAGGAGCCCAAACAAAGGACTGCCTATTTCTTCGATACGTACAAAACTCTCTCTGTTTCTCTCTTCTAACATTCATCCAGACCCCGCCAAGTAAAACATAATGAACTAAAACTTTCTAGGATGCTTCAAAATGCTAAAAAATTACTGTTCTAACTTGTCATAAAGAAATAATACTTACCTTATTGTAATCTAATAACACGGGTTATCCTACAATGAGAATCAGGCAACCTTACAAACAGGTATGATTGTCTGTCAATAATGCAAACTGCATTACCAGTGCTGTGCCTTGTGAGGGGAGGAAGTGTTGGTGGGTGTCGACGGACAATCGCTTACCAATAAGTGCTGTGCGTGTACACATATAATGCCGAGTAGGACGGTCACGATGGTGGCGAACACGATACCTCCGTTCTTGAAGGCGTCCCCCATTGCCAGCAGCCCGCTGCCGATGTTGCCGCGGAGTATGTGGAGAAGCGTATCCGCGTACCTTCAAACATAGTTGGATTAATACCCAGTATAAAGAAAGAAAAAACACGAGCTACGATTAGAAGAGAAAACCCTTGACTGAGGTGTCCACGGAGTTCAATTCGGTCGAATTTCAGAAAATGTTTTTTTATTGACTCGGTTATTTTAAATTGTACTCCCAGATATTTGTTGTCTGTTTTCTTATAACTCGGTATCCTTGATGTCACACTAAATTATCTGTAATCCTTAAGTTAGAGCAACTGTTATTATTTCTAAGAAATATTAGCATATCCTGTACATTCAAATGAGAAAAGGTAACGCGTAAGTGAGCGGTGGATACTATTATAAATTCATTTTAAATCTGGTTAAAATACTGAATTTTAAAAACATGTACACAAATAATTGTAGCAAAGAAACATTACGTAAATACTAAAGATAAAATAAATTGTAAAAACCTAAAACACAACCAGTACTTACAATTTATGTGGCTTTATCTCCTACGCGAACTGTCCGTAATTTATGACGCGTCTACTGTCATGTCAACATGAATTCGAATCGGTTGAATTATTTAGATTTAAGCATCATGATGAAGGGAATTAACAACCGTATATACATTTTTCCATTTATTTAGTTTCAATATGAAACACATGCTACAAATATATATATATATATATATATATATATATATATATATATATATATATATATATATATATATATATATATATATATATATATATATATATATATATATATAAACAATAACCCGCACTGTCCAAATATTTTCTCTCGTAGACGCTTATGGTATTAGGTAAATAATAAGATTTTACTTTTTTTTTTAATTTAGTGGATTACTATACTGTGTTGTGACAAATATACGCAGGAATTCATTTAATTTTTGTACATGTTGACATTGGGAACCGTGGCTCCTCCGTAATCGGGTAAAACAGGATGAAAGCATTCATTGAGACATTATGACAATGTACATGGTGCGTAGGATTCGAGTGTCAAGCGACCAGGTCAATTTATATTAGTTCAGTTCATTGTAGGAGGCAGCCCTCATTTCATTCACCAGTAGCCACCTGCCTACAGGCTAATCTACTTTAACATGAATTGCTTAGATTATCCTGATCGCTCGTTTACAATGTCTTAGCCGATCTACGCTGTTGTGCTTACTACCCATCCTAATAATTATATCGTTCTCGTATACCTACTAGTAAATAATTCGTGACTCGTGTGGATTTACATTTTTTAAACTTGTTTTAAATTTATTTGAATCGAAACTAGAACGCTACATACATACATAACATACAATATTTTCCTTATCAATCTCTAAGCTTTTTATTTTTTACTTTTGTTAAGAAAATTATTTATAAAAATTATTTAAATCATCACCATCATATCAGCCTTCTTTTGTTCACTGCTGAACATAAGCCTTCCTTTGGGGGGTTTTGCCAATAGTTGCCACGCTTGGCAGGGGTATTGGCAATTGTAGTTAGACTTTGGAGATGTTTTAACATGAACGCTGTTTCCCTTCCCTCGCCCTCCCTTAGTTGTCTCTTACGACACTCACGGGAAAGGAAAAGGTGGTATATTCTATGCCGGGACCACACGGCCCTAAAATTAATAAATTTTGGACAACCTCTTTGACTCGATGTCCGTCCGAGCCAATTTAGGACAGAGCTTTTCTAAATTGGCCTGGGCCTGGATATTCTGGTTGTGCCATCAAATGTTAGTCGCCTATTTTTCACTTTTCACTCCTAATATAAAATTAATTTGTCACGTTTAATATATACTTACATATTAATAACACAAAAATCAGCAAAATTCCCACAAGCTACCCATCGTAATTCGTATCTATCGTTATACCCGCTTATGACATCGTAATTGGGATGATATTAGTATTGGAAAATATATTTTGCAAATTTACGTGACTTTACGTGTTCATTTTTACTATAATATTCTAACTTGGCTCAAAATTACCTACGAGTATTAAGACTTGGACTAAGTTTCGAATCGGAGCTCATCCAAGTTTAGATATCCGATAAACTTTAGTGTATTGACAAAAACTGTACTACAAGTATCTATATATTCGACAAGATCTAACTGTCGATAAGTCCCCACAGATACCTTTCAGGCAAAACGTTTTTAGCGAAACATAGTCGGCGAAATTATCAATACAATAAAATCCACGCATGAATATAGCACCTTTTATTTTTTTAGTCAATTGAACATACTAGCAAATGCTAAAATATAACCAAATCGAATACTTACGAAGTCGGATGTGTGACCTGGTACTCTGGTGTTGCTTCTGGCTGTTTTCCATTTTCCAACTCGTACTGCGCCTTGTCCACGGGCAAGATCTGTTCCCGGGACTGGAAAATTCCATATCCTTCGGTAACGTTGCTGGAATAAATATCATATAATGTAATTTTTTTTAAATAAGTTTTCCTAACTTCCACCACGGTAGCTTCAATTTGTTGTTGTTACTAGCTGAGCCTGCTAAAGGCACCTGTAGTATTTAATAATAATATTAAATTTATTTACATTAAATAGGGTAGATATCGGTGGTCTTATATGTCGTCCCTTGAATTGGAGACCGGTAGACGGCCGAGGTCGCCAATTCGGAGGCCGATCAAATACTCATTTGTTGCAATATCCGGCCGTTCATTTACCTTCTTCATGCTCCTCAAATATTGCGCCTAAATTACATGTGAATACACCATGTACCTTCTTGTATAGGCGTTCCGTTACCCGTATCCAATAGCGAGGACGGGATGCCTTAAATACTGTACCTTAAACCATAAAAAAGAAACTCGATCCCATTTAGCTACTTTCAGAATATCATGCAAATGTCACATTTCGGTAGGAACTGATTAATGGCACTTCCCTGGGCTGAATGAGAAATGACTCAAGTTGACCCATATAAGTACAGTGCAAAGTGACAAAATGGCCGACGTTTAAAGAAGTTTGGTGTTTAGTACTATAAAATATACCATACTACTATCTGGTTTTCATATATTGCAAACTATTTCAACTCGTTTGTATGCCAGTAAATACTTACTTTACCAGAGGGAGACTTTGTACAAAAGTCGATTGTTTGGGTACCTCTGTCCCATTCGTGTTTCAACCGTGAAGCAGTTGTGTTTGCATGGCTGTGTTACGGTTTGAAGGGTGGGATATAGCGTGAATTTACTGGGTACAGAGGAATAACACCTGAGTCATCAGATGATGATTTCTTTTAATATATTTATGTTAACAAAAAATAATACACTAGAAATTTTGCTCAGTAACAGTTCTTGTCACAATTATGATAGTGATTACCGCATACCTTGTTAACATTACTATATTTTGTATATAATGTGTTCAAACTAAACTAAACTAAGAATTGACTTACTTGTCAAAAGAAAACATAAATTCGTTCCTAGTAAATTTTTTAATTAAGTATCTTCAACGTGTCTTTAGTCATGTTTTTTTAATGGATGATAATGGAATGGTAACCCCGCCTGTGCTAACGGTATACGCTGGTGGGGGACCAGTAAGTGATGATAGGTGAGAATGAAAAGGCAGGCCAGTTAGCCTATCATGATAAATACACCTGGAATTCAGCACGACAGTTTCTAGGGGGGACCACGTGGAGGTGGACCTGGCAAGGTAGATTGCTAGCAATGGGGCTGATAGTTTGCATTACTAACACCGGTCTAGCTTTACCTAATAAAATATTTATTTCCGTTATTTCATGACATTTATTTTTCCTATCAATACATACAATATAATCGTAACTGGTCACTGTCTGTACCTGGAAAATATACGTACATATAGCAAAAACTATTAAAGGGGGGCTTTATGAACACAATAGAACTAAAAACAATTATTTTTAAAATTTTTGTCTGTAAGTATGTATGTCTTGTACGTTTGTGCACGACAAATATCAGAAACAGCTCAACTGATTTGAATGCGGTTTGCTCCACTTAACATTTAGTGTTTTGATTCGATCGGTTCATAAATATAAAAGTCACATATAAAATACTATAAGATAGGATACTTCATGTACTTATGCGGGTAAAATCGCGGGATATAGCTAGTAATCATTAGGTTCATTATGACAACAGTTTTGTATCTTATCGCATCTAGACTTCTGACTGTTAGTAAATACCTAATAGCTGAATTGATTTTAACTCTTGGAAGTTGATATTAAAGTGACAGTAACAGATATTTATTGACGCTAAATAAAAATTATATTGAAAAACTAGCTGACTCCGTAAACGTTGTTTTACCACTTATTGCGAAATATAAAAATTGCAATTAAAATACAGGGGTTGATCGTAAAACGATGAAAATTTTATGTTGTATGTATTTTTCAATGCTAAATTATAATAAAATAAAAATAAAAAAATTTGTCAAAAAAATAAAAAAAATATTTTGGGGTGGGTCACCCTTACCATTGACGGGTATGAAAAATAGATGTTGGCCGATTCTCAGACCTGCCCAATATGCACACAAAATTTCATAAATATCGGTAAAGCCGTTTCGAAAGAGTTTGGTAACAAACACCGTGACACGAGAATTTTATATATAAGATGTAAACTCATTAATGGAAGTAAATAAATCATCATCTTCCTACCCTTATCCCAACTATTATTTGAGGTCGGCGTAATATGGTTTTATCCACATTACAAAAAGATTTGGCTTTTAGTTTTACGACCGGTCGCCTGCTTGACATCAACCATCTTTGGGAATGCATTTGTTGGTGGTATCCTCCACCTATGGTATGGAGAAAAAGATTATGAAAAAAGGAAGGGAACGATGGAAATGCGTAAAGGAAATTGGTAAATGAGAGGAATAAGGGACTTATGTGGAAAAGAAAAGGGGGGGACACTGCAGCGGCTCGGGAGACCGGAGTCGCATACTCGTATGACCTTATTCTACATAGAATCGGACACATTTCTAAAGAAGACTCTTGACGCATGGAAGTACATAAATCTATCCATAAAAATATGTGGTATTCGCTCCGTACAACACAAAACATTACAATTATACTGGTACCTATTCAGGTATATTGTTGCCTGTCACACGGACCAACTGACAAGTGGCTGTGAGAAAAAACAAGTGTTGCGACTCCACAACAATAAGCCATGTATTAATCGTTAGCCAACATTTATCGCAAGCAGAAATCTATACACCTATTATAAGTAATATTACTTCATCAATTTGCTCGAAAGAGTTGCTGAGTGGCTTCAGATTTCTTACTCGTGGGAGGCTCATTATATCAATTCGCTTTTGCTTTTTATCGAATATAAAACTCCTATATGCTACTGCATGTTATACCACCTACGTTACACATAAAATGTTCATTTATTTATAATATCTAATAAAACTAAAGCGGAGGCCATAAATGTGTTTCTCAATTAGGTAAAAAATAAAACAATAATCAATAATATGAAATATCAAAAATTAACCATACCAAGTCCCAAGAGGAACCTATTATGCGATGTTCATTTCAAACCAATTTCGAAAAGCTATTCAATGTCATTATGAAATAGATAAATACCAAAAAGGGTAAGATTATGTAATGGCGCTAAGCGAGTAGGTACTAACCGGGTTATATTGCGTTAACGGATATAAAAGGATATTTTAATATATACATATATGTATATATTAAAATAAATGACGCAACTACATGTATTTTGCATGCCAACATTTGGTCAATAATTCTACAAATAGAGTTTCTATATAAAATTTATGTTGAAAATAGATAATTATAAATAAAAATAACACAATTATAATAGTATTTTCGAATGGGTCCAATATGGGAATAAATAATAAATAGCTTTAGTTACAGGGCAAGAAGTTTAGTAGCGACGCTTAATTTTCGTAAATTGCAATACCTAAACAGGACGTCATTGTCTGTAGTGGCCGAAATGCAAATAGTCAATGAAACAAGAAATTTATCGTAACATTATATTTTAACTTTAATAATGATTATTTAATGATAATTAGCTAGGGCTACTTACAATACAATATATACTAATATCCTTGTACACTGCACGCGTCTGATTATATCTCCGCATATACTTTTTTAATTATAAAAAATATACAGGTATATTTTTTTACAGTAGAGCGGCACCACAATTCCGTATTTTGTTTATATTGTATAATAATTATACAATGTCAACGTAACGCGGTTTGGTTTGTAAAAACGAGTTCATAATTTACATCACGCCTTCAAGGTGAAGCGGAGTATTTGTCATGATAGTTTTTTTTTTTTTGAGGCTTATCTTTATAAATGTTAATTAACACTGAATTTGATACCCAACCGATATTATAATTTAATCGACCCTTGCCGACATACATCTACATCTACTCGTAACTTACCATATTTTTCCCAAAAGTAAATTCAAATCAAGTTCAGCAGCGGAGAATTAATGACTACAAAGACGACGATATTTCAGACATGTCTTTTATCTATCAATAAACACTTTATAATCACTACACTACACAACACGATGATTCTGCAGCTCAAAACAGCTTGGTTAGCGGCCTAAGGAACTGATTTATTTGTCTGTTGATTTGTTTCTGCGTCTGCGGACGAGTAATGTAGTCGGCCAGCGCGGTCCCCAAGCCTGATGCCGCAGCCGACACCGCGCCCTGGAAGGGCCGGTTCACAGGCGGGTATGGGCGTTGATTATAAATCGGTCGCTGCGGAAAGCCCTGGTTATATCCACCGAAGTTGCCGGGACCGAAGCCACCATGTCCACCATGGCCGAGTTGGCTTTGGCTCTGACTCTGGCTGACTTGTATGGGATATATGGGCAACGGCTGCACCGGTGCAATGGGGGCCACGGGAGCGATGGGCGCGGCGACCGGCAGCGCCGCTACTCCGCATCCGAAAAAGTAGTTCATGACTGGCGCGGACACGTAGGTGTAGTCATGGAGTCCGAAGAACTTCTCCCCGAACGTCCTCCCGTAGCCGCATCCTCCGTTCTGCTGCGGTCTCTTGCGCTTGCGACGCCCGCGCCCGAGTTCGTCGTTGTCGTCCAAATCCAGATCTTTAGTGGCCGCTTGCTCGCTCGCTACGAGTACAGCGCCGCAGTACAACAGAAGAATAAGGGTGATGGTTTTCTAGAAATTATTAAAAAGACCATTAGTTTTCTCTGCCAAAGCTCCGTTCGCGTTTCTGAAGTTCTCGACGTCCGCAGGGTAATCAAAATGTAAAATAGACATTGTGTAATTTCTTACCATTTTGCAGATTGTATTGGGTATACCGAGGAGTCGGCTTGCGAGGCTGCCCGCCTGAGCTCAACTGGTCCACGCTTGGGTTCGGAGATTCCGATGTTGAAAGTGAAAGTGTGTTACCGATCCTCCGTTAACAATAATAATAACGCAACTTTGTGACGACTAAGTATAACCACTAGTCGCGATACGTTAATGCATGGGAGTGACTTTATTAAGCAACAAAGTGGTAGCGCCTCACAAAACGTAAGGTGCGGGCCGATGAACTTGCACGCCGTTTACAGCACAGCTGATGCTGGCATAGTAAATAATATTAAAATTAATCACAACGCGAGGTTTGCACGAGTTGTGCGTAGATAAATAGGTACATCAATTAGTAAAAATAAACATAATCTTAGTGAATGCCGGTGACTGGCCTACGTGTTTATTAAATAATATACGATTCAGAAAATCCCATTGTTACTTTAAATAATGTGTTTTAGATATCCAGTTGTGTTCAATAACATTGTCTATTGTGATCACATACGGCGGCAATGTATTGTCTCCTTTGCGCCATCTCGTGTTATTCTCGCTTGAGATAGTTCGTGATACTTGGGCAATCCTCTTGCTCATATTTTTGGAAAACACATATTTTCGTAAACAGGCGACTTTTTATTGTTGTTACACAAGAATGCACCTACGCGCGCATTCGCTCCAATTAGTAGGTGCCTACGTATCTCGAGGTAGACATGACGCGCACGCTGTACCTAACAGTGACGTCAACCTTCCAGCGTGGGGGGAAAAGATTGTTAGTAATGGGGATTAGCAACCCCATTTCTAGCAATAAACCTTAGAACTATCAGGTCGACCTCCTCGCGGTTCCTCTTGGAAACCATTGTAATTGGTTAATTGTTGAATTTGACACGATGGGCTAATTAACCTGTTTCATCCTCACTGGTGCCCCGCCAGCGTATACCAATAGCGCAGGCGGGGCTACCGTTCCATTATCATCCATTAAAAAGAAAACCTTCTAGCGTTCCATACTTGGGCGGAGTGTTGTGAAGTAGGCATGTATCATCGTGAAGTAGCGCTGTGAGGTAGGCAAACAGCCGTAAACAATCTATGATAATACTATCAGGGTGCACGTCACACGCGCCACTACTTAGCTAACTACCTAGTTGTGATTTGTACAAGGCTTCACAAGCCGCATGACTTAATATACTTTTACATTTGCCCACTAACAAATGCAGTAAAAAATATAAAAGCTGCTTTCTTATTAAAACTCTTAAATAAATATTTATTCGTCCATGTATCTTAGTGATCATACTTATTACCTTAATGTGAAACAAGAAAATAGAAAAATATCAAAAATTTACAATGATGCAATGATTTCTTTTTTCAAGGAAACGCTGAAACTGAGAGTTGATTTGATTATATTTTTTTGAAATATTATAATAATGTCAGTATAATCTTGTTAATTATCTTCCACTTGAGACGGATATAACAATTTTTATCCCGATAATAAAAAGATAAACCCGGCAGGCAAAACAACGTTTGTCGAGTCAGATAGTCATTGTAAATAATTTTTAAAATTAATTTTAATGATGATAAGTAGATTGGGTATATCAAAATTGCGTAATCCGTCAAAGAATTACTCGATGCACTTTTAAACCTCTCCATCTTCTGCCCACTTCTATCTTCTCTTACTGTGTTTATGTGTGTATAACTATTTATGTATATATGTGTCTGTGATATGCTCTGTGTGTGCGCATGTGTGCGCATGTGTGCGCATGTGTGTGTGTGTGTGTGTGTGTGTGTGTGTGTGTGTGTGTGTGTGTGTGTGTGTGTGTGTGCGTGCGTGAGTGCGTGCGTGCTTGCGTGCGTGAGTGCGTGAGTGCGTGCGTGCGTGCGTGCGTGTGTGTGTGTGTGCGTGCGTGCGTGCGTGTGTGCGTGCGTGCGTGCGTGCGTGCGTGTGTGTGTGTGTTGTGTATGTATTTTACTGGTTGTCCTTTAGTTTAGTGGCATAACATTTGATGATAAAGAATGGTGAACTACAACAGATGCTTTTCAGATGACGAATCAACCCAATAGTGGGAAAAATTTGTACGAAATTAAAACAAACTATGTCATATCTGAAATATTATTCTTCGGAAAAGCAACCGATATTCAAACTATATTTATATTTAAAAAAAAAAAAGTGTCATTCGTGCTAGTTACTGTATTATGGCCTTACTGTAACCTTTCAATATGTATACGTAAACAATATGCAGTAATGGCATGAGTATAGGCGCAGGCTTTTTATTTTTAAGAAACAGCGATCTTAATATCTATTATAAACACAAGTTCGCTGTTCCGAAGTATCATTTGGACAAGATCTTTCATTGGAATGGGCATAATCATTGTCTTTTATATTGTATTTATTTATATTTTATATATCTAATTATATATATATATATATGTTTTATGAATGAATGAATGATAACTTTATTTGCTCGAATACAGGTTAATACATTAAAAAATTAATGTTAAAATTAATAATCATCATTTTATGTTTTTTATGTATGTATTATTTTGTATAGGTATACATTATTAGTTGGTATTTCTTTATCTATCCCAATTATGAAGTAGTGCGTGATGATTCACTGTTCATCCTAAAGGTTGACTAATAGACAATGCTACCAGCATCAAGTCTGCTTTTTGTACCAAATTTTATTTTTGACAATAAATTAATTTCAATATTTAAACATTTTAAACATAATACATTTGAATATATATCTAGACAGTATTTTTATTGGAAAAGACAACTCACTTCTTTTATAATTACTTCAAGTTTTCTTTAATTAGGTACCTCTGTAATTGTACAGATAACTATCCGAAACTACAGTAAAATCACAAAAATTACGACTTAAAAGAACTTTTATAGAAGCCTACTTAAATAAAATTTGCTTATTTTCTTTGGAACAAAATGCTCATTATCGCTGGTAGAACATTCCCTTAGCAGGACGCTACGCTGACTACTACCTCAACCGTATGTTCGTAGCACCCATAATAAATAAAATACTTTTACATATATACAATACATACATAGGCAGTAGGTAGTAGAGAGGGACTTACCTACTTAACTGCAGGTGCATACGATACACAGTAATCAATCAGTCAGTCAGTTTATAGACACAAAGTATTCACTCGGCTCGCACTCAACAATCGAGTTTAGAGAGACGAGACGAGACGAGACGAGACGGTGTTTAGTATGCGCGAGCCGCTAACCACGAGGCAAATATTATTTTCCGAATTTACCGTCCGGAATTCGATATTAGTTGCCAATGTGACACTGCACGTGAATAATAAATGTAAATAAATGATAAATGAATTAACATGTGATTCAAATGAAAATTATATTTCAAATTAACAGGATTGAAACGGCGGCGGTTTATGTCGATGCCGTAAGTGTTTAAATTGGCGTGGATTTAAGACGAATTCACATGTATTCAACAAACCGCATGCCTATTTATATCTAAGCTATTTGCATTTAATATAAGTTATAGTCAATAACATACGACGAACGTCATTGTTCGTTTCAACCCACTAAAGATCGACAAGAGCAGCTTCCGATGGTTACATGTTCGATTCCCGCACAGTACAAACATTTGTATTAATGTGTATATGAACTATGTATTTTGAAGTCTGATAAATACTATTTACATGGGGGAAAGGGATTGTCAGTAATGGAATGGTTAATCCTCATTGCTATCAATATACCCTATCAGGTCGACCCCCACGCGGATCCTCCTGGAAACTATCGTAACTAATGTATTGTTGAATTCGTCACGATGGGCTAACTGACCTGCTATTTCATCCTCACCAATCATCCCTCACTGGTGCCCCGCCAGTGTATGCCGGTAGCGCAGGCGGGGTTACCATTTCATTATCATCCATTAAAAAAAACACTATCGACAAAGATTTGCATGCTATTAAATATGGCGAAATATACTGAACACACAAAAACAAATTGAAACATCCTATTATGTTTCTGATAAATAAATTATTATGAGTATGTTTGTATGTATTAATTCTAAATGTCTTTTTTTCTGTTTATTTTTCTAAGGATTCACTTCCAAGATTTTCGTTTACCTGACATCTTGACTGATTGAAAATACGGTCGCCGCCTTATTCGTATTCTCCTTGGTCTCCGTTGGTGTCTTCATGTTGATATCTGCAACCAATGAACAATAATGTCAAACTCATTTTCATTTCACCCGTGTCCAGCGGTGGGGAACTGATCTATTATTAAGACTACGTTTTCTACCTCATTTATATTCCTTACGTTAAAAACTAAGACCGCCATCTTTAGTTCTAATTTTCACAGTAAGTAACCTATCTATTAGCTCTTCAATAGTTAATACTACCATCCGATTTACTTCACCAAGACTTAAGGCTAGAGACCAAAGTTCATAAAGATCTATTCAATAACTAATACTGAATATGAAAATTAAAATTAATGTACATTAATAATATTATAATATTAATATAAACTATAATAATACTATAAAACTATAATATTATTAATATTTACAGCATCGCCAAATATTTAATTAATTTCAAAAAACATAATAGTGGCTATAAAATTATTTAATTATTTATTTCATGTACAGGTACTGCTCATGTCTATAGGCGACGGTTACCACTTTCTATCAGGTGGGCCGTCAGCTTGTTTGCCATTTTAAGATGTTTAAAAAAAATTAAAATTATTGTAACATTAAAAATTAAAAAAAAAGGAATAAATAGCCGCTATTAATAAAATTTTATAATCATTTCAATGCATAAGAATGGTTTTATGCAATAACATATGTTATAGATTATGGATTAATTAATTAATAAATAAAACAAAACAAAGATGTAATGTAGTCATCAGCGTGGCACTCAAATGACTCAAAACTATGTAATATATTTTAATTACCATCACGAAAAATTCAATTAGTCAGTCTTAGTTGTAAATTTTTATCTAAAACTGTCCAAACAACGTAAATCTTGAAGATTAGTAAATAATTATGTACACGCGCATTCGCAACGTGCCTGGCCTCGAGCGTGCGAGCGTGCGAGTGGTGCGCCGACCCAATACGAGTATAGCGGAACCACGGTGCGATCAGTGGCAAGTACCCTTTTGTCAGACTCCCGGAAGTCATGGGTAACTGACGACTTCTAAGAACTTTTCAATCATCCACCGGCCACTCCAATGCTAATCATAGATGCTCATAAGGAATGATCTCGAGCTGCATGCATCCATTTTTTTCATCTCGGTCGGCGACTTTACTAAGTAAATAGCCACTAACCAGTAACTGAGTTAACTTGTTAATGTTTTGCGGTGCTATTAATAACACTGATTCCTCGGGGAATATCCTCACGAGTTAACTGAACCCTTAATAATGAAATACCGGTGTCGATTCCGAGACGCCAATGCTCTAAACCGATATCTTAATCTAATATTTTGATAGTTTAGCCAAATTACTGTTAGGGTCAATAACCTTCATAAGATAAATTTATAATAATTGAGCCTTAAATCTATTAGATATTTAATTATTTCGTCTTAATAATAAACATTTCATTATAATATCAATTAAATCTTTAATTTTAAAAATAGGTTTAAAGAATTGACGCAAAATAATATCGACTTCATTTTTTAATTTTTTTTAATTAAATATATAAATAATTTAATTAGCCTGAAATCTCAGCATAGAATGGGCCACCCGTTTCTTTACTGTGGCTGTCATAAGTGTCGATTAAGAAAGCAGCGTCCCTTTTTAAATATCACCAAAGCCTAACCGTTGTTAACAACCCACCTCCTAGGCGTGGCAACTACAGGCAAAACCCTTCAAGGAGGATGCTTATGTTCAGCAGTGGACGAAGTGGATGAAGAAATAAATAAATATTAAAATGGCTGGTCGCTTCGTTGATACACATAGTTAGGTGCAGTCATTCGTTGTATAAATTTTGTTAGTTAATATTAATTATACATGATAGTTACACTTTAATGGTCGTCTTTGCCATCTACGATGATTTAGATCATATATTTCCATTTTCTTCTCCGTTTCTATACCTACCTATCGTAAATAATTGTTTCTGAACATTAAAACATTCAGTTATTTTTACCTAGTGCTCAATTAAAGAGGATTTTACCAGGGGAAGACTTTGTACAAAAGTCGATTGCTTGGGTACCTCTGTAGCATTCGTGTTTCAATCGTGAAGCACTTGTGTTTGCATGGCTGTGTTTCGGTTTGAAGAGTGCGATATGGTGTGAATTTACTGGGTACAGAGGAATAACACCTGAGTGCTCAGGAATGGCAACGCATGGGGGGTATCATGGGCGAAACAGTATACTCTGCTCATGTGTATAGGCGACGGTTACCACTTCCCATCAGGTGGGCCGTCAGCTTGTTTGCCATTCTAAGTTGTATAAAAAAAAATTTTAAGTCATATACACACCAAAAAATAACTACGTTATAATCAGCACAGCGTCTTTTGAAAAGTATACACACATATTGTAGATACGATGATATAATAATTATACTTAAAAACAGCTAAAATAACATGTGCGAATGATTAGACGAAATAATATTTACACAAAGTTTATTACGCATGCGTGCAGTGTACGTTGGATCTTAAATCCGCGGTGACATATGAATTATTCCAATCCACTGATATACAATTAATATTTTTCAAGCGATCTCAAAAACGGAAAAGGTACTTGTCTAATTTATAAGGTATCCTGGCCTATTTTAGACCGACTTTCATATTACAATCGATAAAATCTATTCGTTAGTGGGTCCAACATCAATTTTGTCAAGATAATTTTGTATTGTGAAATTAAGTATACGATCTGCCTGATGAAACAGACACATACCTTAATGTCTAAGGGTGTCACGTGCGGGTTGGACAACAAAATGTGGTTAATATAATATAATCAGATCATTATACATGTTACGACGATGAAAATAAATTCTATAGACAAAAATAATTTGATTCCACTTTTCGACCATCTCTAGGGAGTCGAGGACCAAAGGATTGACTACTACTTTGTCGTTTACCAGAGGGAGACTGTACAAAAGTCACCTGCTGCGGTATTTCTGTGGTGTGTGTGCCGTGTGGTCGCGGCATAGAATAGGCCACCCCATCCTTTCCCGTGGGTGTCGGTAGCAACTAAGGAAGGGCGAAGAACATCAAGCAGTGGCGTCCCTCTTAAAATCTCTAAAGCCTAACTACAGTTGCCAACTCGCCTACCAAGCGTGGCAACTACTGGCAAAACCACCCCAAGGAGGAGGCTTATTCAGCAGTGAACAATTGAGGGCTGATACGATAATGATGATTGGGTACTTCTGTCCCATTGTGATTGTGCTATGAAGCAGTTGTATTTCGGTTTGAAAGGTAGGATATGGCAGTGAAATTACAGGATACAGAAGCATGACACCTTAGTCCTCAGGACTGACAACGCATGAAAGGTAGCATTGGCTATACAATAAACTCTGTTATGTCCATTGCTCAAGTCTATAGGCGACGATTACCACTTTACATCAAGTTGATGGTCAGCTATTTGTGATTTGCCATTCTAAATTATATAAAAAATGATCCATTATCTGGTAATACTGTGGAATCTTTGTAACATTCTTATTACTGAACATCTGGTCTAAATGAAATAATGTCATAAATTATCATATTATTAAAATTTTTAACAATTACTGACGTCAATGGTCGCTGCTTCGACTCGTAAACAAACAAAACACTTGTATTTGTGATTATGTTTGTTTGTCTCGGTTTAGGCGCTTTCTACATATTTAAAATGAAACATATTTAAGTCTGTTAATCCATTGCCGTGTGGTCCCAGCATAGAATAGGCCACCCCTCCCTCTCCCGTGGATGTCGTAAGAGCCGATTAAGGGAGGACGAGGAATGGACAATATCGTACGTCTTAAAATATCTCTGAAGCCTGACTGCGGTTGCCAATCCTTCTGCCAAGCGTGGCAACTACGGCAATGCGCACGGAGGAGGCTTATGTTCAGCAGTGAACAGTTAAAGGCTGATATGATGATAATCCATTGTATAATACCTGTAATGGGGATAATTCTAAATATAAAATTAAACTTATTAAATAGTTATAGTCCAAATATAATGCAAATTCTTAAATTGTTCCATGTCTTTACAAACTGTGCAAACTAAATAAAATAAATGCTGTGGATACCTTTAATGAGCACATTTAATGTTTATTTTAAATGCCGCAGTACTAACTGCTGCTAGTACATACATAAATAAATAAATAGTAGATATAAGTACAAAACGTGGGTGAATAATGAAAAAAAAACCTCTTGAAATTATGACAACAACAAGGAATAATGTGTTCGCGCAATGCCCTGATGGCTCTGATCAGGTCCATAAAATTATTACAGTAAAGACAGATGAAATAAGAGCTCTACAACTGCATCTAGTAAATGGTTAGAATTTAATAAAAGATTAATCTATACTACATAACTGGCTGGAGGTAACTCGTCTCACTGCCGGTGATTTCCCACGTAGGTATTTGTCAAAAACTAATATAACGTAACAAGTCTTTAGTAATAAAAACAAGCAAGAAGCCCAGCTAATAGAAATTAGATTAGAGAAGATATCTTTGTAATTTTCAGTAATAGGTATAAACAATGCCACTAGAGACGTTTTTGACGCTCAAGTGGAATTGACCGTGTTGAAGCAAACTATTAGAGCCGCTTACATTGTCATAGGAAAATTGAGGAAACCGATGGCAGTAACAAGCGACGCGGCCACGAGGCCCACCGCCAGGAAGTAACACATTTAATAAGTGTAAGATAAACGCCAGTATTCTTTCTATTTGCATTATCTGAATATCTGATAAAAAGAGCACGCGTAAGGTATATACAAGTAGATATATATCTACATTACTATGAAAACGGAATTCTTCTATACAGCAACGTTTTTAAACAATCCGTTTTTTATTATTAGATAACATCGTCGTGAAAAATGCATTTCAAAACATATTGCGAAAATTAAACGATTTAATGCAAATCAAACTGTGCATATACTCAATGTCGAGGTCGAGCTCTCACAGACTCGTCGAGAACATAGCAATCCGAAAATGCACTAGCGATAATAACAGCTCCTTGCCCTGGGCTGTATCTAAGACGTTATGAATAGTAAGATACAAGCGAGATG